AGGAGATCTCCGATGAATTTCAGAGCTGAGAGTTTGAAAAAGACATATTAGAAATGGCTGTAGCAAATCACCACAATACTGTTACCCCCCCCCCTCCAAAAAAAACCACACATGGAAGTGTCTGTGTAGTCATCAGAAAATGAACATTATTCAGGGGTGTCTGCAGATTGAAAGTAGCTGGATATTTTCTGACCAATTCTTTACTAATCTTGGACAGGAATCTTGATAGTTTCTCAGCTACACTTATAGGAAATAGCACAGAATTTTGAAGAGACAAAATATGAATATTTCACTTTTTTTCACCTGAACATTTCCTTGTCTTTACTGAATTATTTCCTCCCTCAGCTTGTTTGGAACATACTTGGGCCTCTTCCCAGTATTAGCTTTAGGTTTCTTGACAGTATCGCTGCATATCTGCTTAGTTGTATGTGTTTGCTCTTGTGACCCACCCTTCTTTCCATTTCTTATATGCATCCAGTCTTTTTTTCCAGAACTTTGTTAAACATAATTACTAACATTTTTTAGTGTTTTCCTTTTAAAGTTCTTTGTGCCTTTCATTATTCTTATGATAATGCAGTTGATAATTATGTCTTTGAAAGTGCTGGGCCCTTATTATTCATTTATGAGCTATAAGGTTTTTACTAGAATTTGTCTGAGTTCCTTGAAATAACATTTCATGAGCTACAGGCCCAGCCAAAGCTCACTTAATATTCACATTCCATAATGACAAAAAATATAGCATTAGCAGTTTCTTCATAAGGTTTATGTAACCTTATTGTCACAGGCCATTTCTTGACTTTTAGGATTGCTGACTCACTCCATTCTTTTTTCTAAGTAAGGACATTTCCAGCAAGATGCCAGGGATTTGCTCAATACTGATTCCCAGTAGATATGTTATTTTGTTATTTCTGCTACTTCTAGACATTGCCCAATGCAAAGTAGTAGAAAAATGCCAACCAGAAGAGTTAGGCAGCCTAGAGACAAGTTTTGCAATCAGCCTGTCCCAGGTAAGCATGAGGTAAACCAAGTCCAGAAAAGGATTTGTTCAGAGACTTGCTTTTGTCAGATCCTTTAAATATTTAATTATTCATTTTTTATCCTGCTGCAGTCTCACAATTCTCCTGGTTATAATGTCATAATAAAAACAATATTGTGGATTGGAGCCATAATATTTCTATTTTTCTCCATTTATTATTACTAAATCCATTTTATGGCATTTATCTTTCTCATTTCTCTTGAATTTTCATACACATTATTTCATTTTCAATCCTCTGTGTGTGTGTGGGGGGGGACTGCATATACACATCTTCAAGTTGATAGTGATTCCTGGTAACTGACAAACATCCCTGGTGTTTTCTTGACCACAATTTTCAAAAGTGGTTTGCTCTTGCTTTCTTCTTTCTAGAGCTGAGAGACAGTCACTGGTCCAAAGTTAGCAAGTTTGCTTAATGGCTTAGTGGGACTAGGATTCAAGGTCTCTCTGATTCTAGCCTGATGCTTTAACCTTACATCAAAGGGAATACTTTTTTCAATCATTCAAAACCTATTAAATAAGAATTAGATATAATTGTTTTAGAAACTGCTCAGACTTTGAAGACAAACATCTGTGAGCAAGGAAACAGGAAAATTCCAAAACTGTGGTATATTTACGGTATCCTGTTGGAATGAATGTCCAAGAATTAGATTTCTCTTTTTTCATGGGATTGGAATGGTAACCTCAGATTAAACAGCGGTCAGACAAATGGCAACCGAGCAAACACCTCAAAAGGGACCCTCCCTATTTTTTTGGGACTGCAAAGGAGAGGGGTAAGAGATGTACTTTCAGAAGTGCAGATTTTGTTAATGTAACCTTTCAATAAAGCTTGAGCCATACTTCTGAGTGTGCTTCTTCTCTGGTCTATGGCACAAGGCTGACAGGATGAGAGCATACTGTAGTACATGGCAAGGTTGATCAAAACTATTTTCTGTACTAAACACTAAACATACTAAATAGTGTTTTCCCCACAGAGCTAGTGGATTTTACCTGCTGACCAGGAATTGCTCATTTCTCTTTTCTTTCCATTTTTTTCATCCCTGTGATAGGATTGGGATATTGATGAATACATTGTGGACAACAGCGCTGAAAAGCCTAAAGACTGGGATGATGCAGCACAGGGCACCTGGCAGCCTCCTCTGCTCAAGAATCCTCTCTACAGAGTACAGCACCACTTTTTCATGTTTTGAGGTGAACTTTGAGGAATTGGGTGGCCATTTGGGCAGCCCATACTGAGAACATTTGGTTTATTTCAGGGGGAGTGGCGGCCCAGGAAAATCCCAAATCCCAACTACAAAGGCATTTGGCCCCATCCCCAGATTGCGAATCCTGAATATGTGCCGGACCCAAGCCTTTCTATTTATGAGAACATCAGCGTCATTGGTCTAGATCTTTGGCAGGTCAGCTGGGCTTCTTCGTGGTTCGTATGTTAATTAGGTGCCATCTTCATTGGCTGAAGTGAGCAGATTCCTGTTTGCATGAAAAAGAATTAGCAACATAGCTGTTGATTCAAATGTATATAAACAGGCTTGTGTTCCTTAATTGCAGGTGAGATCTGGAACTATTTTTGATAATTTTTTGATCACTGATGATGAAAAGTATGCAAAGAAATTTGGTGATGAAACATGGGGCAAAACAAAGGTAAGAATGATCTCTTCTCTGGAATGCAGCCAAGGCGTAGATTCCTTCTGTGCTTGTATTATTCTTTTATTACTTGATCCTTTTCTCAAAGAGCTATTTTTGCTTAGATGGCTGATATTGGAACAGGGAATCCACTATGATTGTTCTGCAGGTTCCTTTCCAAAATAGCCACAGCCACACAGTAAGGCTGTTTGAGATGGCTTTCCCAGTACATCTGGATGGATGCTGACAGTTTTCTCACCTGGATGAGAAAATAAAAGGGGAGCCTCTTTGCTCTGTCCAATGGCAGCAGCTGTTGCACGTGGAACGGAGCCTGTTCTGCCTGCAGCTTGTTCTTTCAATTGTCAGGTTAGTTGGGTGGAAACAGATCAAAGAAAATTCCTGCAAGGGAATAGATTTGCCCAGCTGGATATCTGAGATGACAGCAGGTTTTCTTAAGGTGACCTTTCTTTTTCCATTTAAAATTTCCAGAAGCCGGAACAGGCAATGAGCAAGAAAGAAATAGAGAAAGAAAAGGAGAGGAAACAGAGAAAAACCCAGAAGATGCCAAAAAAGAAACCACCTCAAAAGAACAAATCTGAGAGGATTGTAGCGCAGAAGGAGGAGCTCTGATTTTTTTCTCAATTTAAATTGGAGCTAACAAGTGGAAGATATTAAGGGCTGGGGACCATGTTTGATTAAACAGATATCTTGGAAAACTGTTTGGTTTCAGCTGAGAATGATATCAAAAGGGTTTTTTTTAGTAAAGTCAATTGTTGACAAAGAGAGTCCACAATTACTTAGTTTCCCTATCTCCATCATTCACCAGCAAAGACCCGTTTGTGTGAACCCAGAAGCAGGCAGAGGACAGTAACTCTCCCAAATTATCTCTGGGGCTCGGGGTTGCAAGGGGAAGAGTGTGTGTGTCTCATTGCTATTTCTGAATTACCCCAGAAATCCTTCCTATGCAAAAAGTGGAGAAGGAGGGAGAAATGTCCCTTTCTAGCTTCGGAAGTCTTCTAGGCCAGGGCTTTTCAACCGGTGGTACGCGTACCACCTATGGTACTTTGGCACCTGGTAGGTGGTACGCAACCATTCTAGACAAGTGTAGTGGAGGAGGGGAATGAGCTGAAGTGGCGGCAGCACCGCACAAGCCTGACGGAGAGACAGATGGAGCTGCAGGGCTGTTGGAGCTCGGCAGAAGCCCCAGGATCGGTGCGTGCAGCTACAGCTGATCGGCATTTCTGCAGGGTTATGGGGGCTGGGCAGGAGCCCAGGATCAGCACACACTTCTTCAGGGGCGAGACAGAAGCCCCAGGATCAGTGCTTCCGGCACACATGGAAGAGAAAAGAGAGGGAGAGAGGAGAGGCTATAAAACAGGCATGTCAAACTCACGATGTCACGTGACATCACGTAACATCGCGAGTTTTTCCCTATTGCCGGCAATGGGGTAGGCGTGGTTTCAGCATGACGCATCCAGCCCATGGGCCAGCAGTTTGACATGCTTGCTATAAAAGGAGAAGGTTTTGACGGAAGAGGGAAAGGAAAAAAAAGACAATGGGGGGAAAGAGAAGGGGACTGCAAAAGAGAGACGGAGAAGTGCAGCCTTGGGAGGAATCAGCTGGAGGTGCACGGAAGAGAAAAGGGGGGAGAGAAGAGAGGATATAAAAGAGAAGAGAGGAGAGAAAGGATATAAAAGAATGGAGAGAAGAGAGGCTATAAAAGGGGGAGAGAAGAGGATATAAAGGGGGAAAGGAGAGGATATAAAAGAAGGGAAGAAGATAAAAAGGTGAGAGAACAGAATATAAAAGAAGGAGGGGGAGAGAAGATATAAAAGAGGGAGGAGAGAAGAGGGGATATAAAAGGAGGAGTGAATCTGGCTTCTCCATTGACTTTGTCAGAAGGTTGCAAAAGGGGATCAATGACCATCATAAATATGAATCAGTTGCCAAGCATCCAAATGTAGATTGACCCTGGGGATGCTGCAACGGTCATTAGCGTGAAAAATGGTCATAAGTCATTTTTTTCAGTGCTGTAGTAACTTTGAACAGTCACTAAGTGAATTGTTGTAAGTTGAGGACTACCTGTATCACTTTTTTCCCCTTTTTTGGTCATCAAGTTTTTGACTCCTTGCTAGGTGAATACTCTAATATTGCCATATCCTAAAAGGGGTAGAATCTGTGAAAGGGTTGAAAAGGCCTGTTCTGGGCGGTAGCAGCAGCACCGCACACGCCCCTCCTGCATGTGCGGAGCTGGGCAGGCTGCCCAGGGCGGCGCCTCCCAGCAGGAAAGCAAGTCAGGGGCCAAAGCATCCTCCGCGGACCTTCAGAGGCGACGCTGCGCGGGGATTCTTTCAGCGCTTCCTCGGTTGGCCGCCTGGTGGCGCTGTCCCTGCGTTCGCTGTTGCTGTACTCCTCGTGGCCACGCCCTGTCCGTCTCTGGCCGCTCCCCTCCCAGGAGGAGGAGGAGGAGGAAGATGGCGGCGCTCGGCCCCCTCGGCGGCGGCGCGCAGGTAGGGAACCAAGAGGAAGGGCGGCGGAGGGATGAGAAGGGAGAATGGCGGCGGGAAGAAGGGGAGGAAGAGCAGTCGCAATTCAAGAAAGCAGAGATACTCCCGCCGTGAGTCAGAAGCAGAGTCGGTTGAAGGGAAGGCAGCCACCACCTCCCCACAAAACATGCGACCTTGATGGGAGGTGGTCTCTCGGGCGGGAGGGGCGTCCGTTCTTTTCCTTCCCAGGAAAGGACGGAGCGTCGGGCGCTGACGGGGAGGGACCGGCAAGGCCAGTCGTCCTCGCCGCCAGAAAGGGGTCAGGCAACTCAGCCCTGATAGGGGACAGTTATGCTGCCTCCAGGACTGGGAGGCGGAGGGTCCCGTCGCCACCCTTCAGGGTCACGGCCCAGAAGCCCCTTCTTAATACACAAGTAACCTAGCCCAGCCTACCTCACAGGGCTGTTGGAAAGAAATCTTGTCCGCGAGTATAGTGGGCTTGGATGCTACAGTGGAGAAGAGAAGGGGCTGGAAGTCCTCTAGGCCGGGATTTGATTGAAGGACCGCTGTTGCACAGCTTTTGCTTGTGTATAGAGTGGGTGTGCTTGTTTGGAGAGATGCTTAATAGGTGCTGAAGAGTTTAAGCGCTGCCAATTCAAGCCACAAAAACATATTTTCCTAGAAAAGCAGGACTCAGATGATGCAGTTTGTACCCTTGGATGTTTCCAGAGGTAGAACCCAGCTAGAACTGAACATTGAGAATTTACTCAGTTTAAACACTGGGAAATTTGGGAAGCTCAGTACAGAACCAAAAGACTGAAGTGGGACCAATTTGAGCAGATGGTGTCTTTCCTTCGGGGAAAACATTACAAGCTTGGTGAGAGAAACCTAGAAATTAAGCCAAATAAAAATCATTTCCAGATAAAGATGGGTGTAGTCAGGCTGTAGACCTCACAGCTTATGCTCTGCTTTGTCCAGCATTTTAGTGGCCATCTCGGGAAGTATGAGGATTTTTTAGGGCTTGTATTTCTCAATGAATAACAAACAGTTTAATAATGACATATAAGCAATCAAAATATATCTGAGGATCACATTGTCAAATAATAGCATATGGAATACTGTACATTTTGTAAGAGAAGGCCAAAACATCATAAAGTTATTTGGCAAAAAGCTACACACTGCCACCAAATTTAAAAGCCATGTTAGCCATAATGTAAAAACTTACTAAGGATTAAAATATAATCATTACAAAGTCCTTGGAGAATACTGTCTTGAGGACCTGACTGTATTTGTAGACATGGTGCCAACAGATCTTCTTTGGAGAAAATAGTCTGTAACCTGCAATAGTTGAAGATACTTTTTTGATGGCCTCATAACCTGCAGCCTAATTCAGGTGCCATTAAAAAGTGGCTCAATGGCCTATAGAAGCTGCCTGGATTCTGCACTGAAGTTCAAGGGAAGTTTCAGTTCCCTAGGCAGCTTCAGCCACAGAAGAATTTCCTTACTAGATTGGAGGAATGTTGCAAGGAATGGAATTTAGTGCAAGGCTGGGGAGAATATACAATGGCCTCTGACACTGAGCTGCCTGTTCTGCCGGATATGGTCTGTCACAATAAGGGAGGGGTTTTATGCAACCCTGGATGATGAACTCTGACTGGTAGGGTTACATGGGGAAACATAATCCAGGATTGGTGTGTTCCCTTCTGTCTTGGTTAAAGTCAGAAGTTTGTGTACAGCAATTCTTAGTAAAAAAAATAGGAACAGGTTCCTAGGGATAATTGTTAACTAAGGACCTCTTGAGCAAAAATTCAGTCATGCCAGGAGACAGATGTTTTAATTATTCTAAGAATGTAACTGGGCTTTAATGAGGCTTTTCCCCCCCAAATGAAATAGTACACAGTAAACCTTCAGCCATAAAAGAAGGTGGCAGAGGGATCTCTGGTGTATGGAATGTGTCATGAGTACTCAGAAAAAGAAACATTTATATCTTTCTCTTGGAGGGAAGCTGATCCAGGGATCTATGTATATGAAAGGAAATCCAGCAATCTCCGTATAGATAAGGCGTAGATTTGTTGCATGCATGTTAATAAATAATGTTGCTAAGAGCATTCCTTCTGAGCTTATTCTGGTTCAAGAGGGAATCATATGCCTGATGCCAAGTGCTGTTTTCCAGGCTCCTTTTTTGGACACGGACCCAAAGTCCTTAGAACCCTGAATACTGCTTCTGCCCAGGCTGATTTGTATTCCTGCAAAGTTAATGGCTGCTGTCTAGCAGAGAAAGTATCTCCATGTTGGCTCTGCTTGCAGAAAAGCCCAGAACCACGCATAGCCCAGATGTCAAGCACAACCAGTCAGTTATAAATTGCTCTTTTCAGAAAGGGTGTTTTGAAGCCAAGCGCTTCTGGAAGCTTTGGATGCATCTCATTCTGGCTTGTAAATTCCAAGGGGCGTGCAGAGGAAGAGGCCCAGGCAAAATATCCTCCCCCTTGAATCCTCTGGGTCTCTTTATTATTTAATGTCGACCTTTTTCCCATCCTCCATTTTTTTTCTGATATAATGAAAATTGGTGATAGGCTGAGGTATTGCTCCTAATTAGACCAGCCTTGCAAATGTTTTTTATCTACCTAATAATAGATTATAGAAGGCACTTTCTGGTGTTCTGATGTATTTCCCTGCAAGTTTACACACAGATGATGAATTTATTGATGCTGTAGACTCTGCCAATTACAGAGATAAAGAGGAGTTTTTGTCTAGGCTCTATTGAGTAGCACTTGTTGAAGAGGATGTATGTGGATAGCTTTTGTATGAGGGATTGTAGCATCCACACATGTCAAAGATATCACATGTTCATTGTGGGAAATAGAATTGGTTGTTGAACACCAGGATTCTGTAGGATGAGAACTTGTACTGGGCTGCCCATTAATCAGAGCTATTAGTTACAGCTTATCATTTGTCTTGAGCAAAAAGAATCTTTTTTGACTTTGCATTTCTTTCCCACCCTTCAAGGCAGATAAAATTTGGATTTCTGTCTCTTGCTAGAGAACCAGAGGAAACATTGTTGATATTGACCATAGGGATCATTGTTGGTGATTTTGCATAGCATTAAAACCAAATGGTAGGCCACAGTTCTGCATAACAGAATGAGTATTCATGATGATATGTGGTTAGCCTTTATTTTACACATTGGATGATGAAGGAATCATGAAGATAGCTGCATAGCTCTTCTTGATTACCCTACACTGTGAGTTCTGTTTGCCTTTCAGGCAGTAAAGAAGAATAAAAGAAAGTCATTCAGTTAAGCCTGAATTGGGGTTCTTGAGACTTTCCAGAAGGACATATCTGGGATACAGCTCCCATTATCACGAATAATTGGTCAGGCTGTCTGAAGCGGATTAGAACAGAAGTCAAATATAGATAGATGGTTTGTAGAAGGGAGGCATATGTGTATATTAGTAGTCCTTGACATACAACCATTCATTTAGTGACCGTTCAAAGTTAAGTGGCACTGAATAAAGTGACTTATGACTGTTTTTCACACTTACGACCATTGCAGTATCCCTGTGGTCACATAATCAAAATACACACAAGTCAAGGACTACCAGAAATTATACCAACCAATTGTGCAGAAAGCAGAAGTAAAACTTATTCATTGTTTGGGGATGGGGATGTTTGTAACTTAGCAATATCAGAATGAGGGATGGGGTGAAATTATGTGGCAATTTTGCAGTTTACCTGAACTGTGTGATAATGGTATTCTAGCATTGCATATTGAGGATAAGAGTGGAACTTCCATGTGCTCCCTCTCTTGTTTCCATAGCATTCTGTTCCCATTTTGAGTTTCAGGGCTTACTCCTGGTCTTGTGAAAAAAAATATTGTTAGTTCAGTTTCTAAGTGATAGCTTCTTAATGCTTTGTTGTCTCATTCTATCTTTGTTAAGCTCAGCCAAGGTGGCTGTCTTTCTTCCCTTTTCATTATAAATTAACTGAAATAAGAAGAATATGCAGTAACTAATATATTTTTTAATATTATCTGTATTTATCATCCACTACTGGATCACCATGCAGCTACTGTATGCTTTCTCAGAGAAAGCCAAATATTGCTTTTGGGTGTTATTTAGACTGAACTCAAATGAGAGAGCAGTGGGAAGTCCTTTAAAACAACTGAACTGTCCTTGAGCCTGTTTAAAGAAAGAAATGTTTGTCCATTGATAATTCTTTGGAGGGCAAGTGAATGATATGTTATTGCAGTCAGAAAATGAGAAGCTGAGATGGTAGGCAGCATCTTTAGACCTGTTCTGGCTAGCTACAAATGATCTGATGCGATTCCTATGCAAGACCTTTCAATTTTATTCATACCTGTCCCTATTATTGTACTAAGTCATTTCTTCAAAAATAAAATAAAATGGTGGTGGGATATTTTTAGAAGGTTCCAAGCAGAAATAGAGCTGGACCTATTAAAGCAGGGGTCCCCAACCCTCAGGCTGCAGCCCACTACCGGACCTTGAGCCTTTTGGAACTGGGCCGGTAGTGGACAGCAGGCGCGCGTGCCTGCCTCTTGCTTGTGCACTTTACCACCACTTGCGTGGAACTATTCCCCCCCCCCCCCGCCGCCAATCCGCAAAGTTGTAGAATTCTGCATTACAATGAATAGACCTGGCTGTGTGCGAGAATAACTTTCACCTTGCATTTCCCTCTTTTTTTTAGCTCTCTGTTGGTAACCCTCTGTATGAGACATATTACAAGCAAGTAAGTGTGCTACATTTCTCCTTTTCTCTCTCCCTTGAAATCCTGCCTTTTTTCTTATCTATTGGCTAATATGAGCACCCAGCATATTTGTTTTATAGACATTGTGCTGGTCTATTAGAAAGTAAATATAAAATTTACAAGTTTGTTTGATATTATAAAAGCCAGCATTGATTTATGTATTATTATGTCAATTTATATTGCTGCCCATCTCAGATTCATGAGTCTGGGTTGTAGTTTTTAAGCTTTTTCTTGCACCCTTTGAATCTTTCTGTGAGTGAGCCTGGCTAACAAAACTCTTTTAAAGTGAAATAAGGTCGTGGTTTGATCTATTTAAATTAGTTCCCAAAAGAAACCAAGAACAAGCTGTAATGCTAAGTAAATTACAGATAGCATTGTCTAGTAAAGAAAGCAAGAATAACATACACCAATATGCTGCTGATGCATTAGGATACTAGAATTGTAATGAATTTTAACTTCATGTCATGTACGATAAAATGTAATAGCATGTAATGCTCATACTTTGATGAAGCCCTGTCAATAGGTCACTAAGTATAAATTAAAAAGTTGCTTGAATTTACCCAAGCATAGATGAAATTATTCAAAAGATAATCAAATTACCTGTAAACCCTCTTACTTGATTCACTGTGGTGGGAAAACATATTGAATGTATAATAACAGTTTACCTACTTTAGTCAATTATAGGTCTGTTCTTCCAGTACTATATAAGAACATTTACCCTATACACAAGATATCCATAACTTTTGATATGTCACTTAGGACAGGGTGTTCAAAGTTTTTAGCTAGTGAATGCATTTGGAATTTTGAGACGTGTTCTGGGTTCTGCCATAAAAGGGGAAATGTTTAATTCACAAAATGATTGCCATGGCGGCATTGTGAGCCCCACTGAGCCTGGGGGGGGGGGAGCTTGGAAGGCACAAGGAAGAGGTCCCCTATCTACAGAGTCTCCTACTATGTTGAGAACTCAAATCTAGAACACATACATCCGTAACAGACCCGACCTTGTTAACTTCAGATCAAAATGTAGCAACAATAAGGCAAGCTCAGATCCTGCAAATTAGCATTTCTACTTCCATATTATGTTTTCAGCAAAAATTTATACTTTAATCCAATATGTGGGAAATCTTGTATTACCCGCATTCTGAAATCAGAAGAAATTTACTTCAGTTTCAAACTCAGTGTAAACAACTCAGAAAGCATTTAAAGCAATGTCAGCCGAGATATTACAACCTTTGGCACCAAGCCTGAGTTATTGCAATTTATAAAAGAACCAGATTGAACGCCAAACTTTGTATTAAAGAAATAAGATTAGAAGATTTATATCATGTCAATAAAGATCTATGTTGTACTCAGCGTTATGATGATGTTAATTTCATCAGAATCTTTTAATAATTCAAAATAATGAGGCTAAACTAAATTGAAAAGAATAGTGGATGAAAGCATTCTTAAGAAGTATCTTAACACATTCTTGTAGAGGTTATAGTAAGAGCAGAACAAGCCAACAGAGGCCTAATTTCAGTGGGAAATAGGAGGTAGCGTGATTATTTATCATGTTTAAACCATTTATATAGTCCCCATCTTATGAGTTGGCCCATAGTGAGGAAGTGAGATAAAAGTGGCTTGTTCCTTTCCTTTTTGGGGTGTTTGCTGAAGAGTTAATATTTTCTTTGCAGGTGGATCCAGCTTGCACTGGCAGAGTTGGGTCCAATGATGCTGCTCTGTTTCTCAAAAAGTCTGGCCTCACGGATGCTGTCCTGGGGAAAGTAAGTCAGGCATCTTCTCCATTCTAAATGCCAGAGGAAAATACATGTTAGGGAAACCATTTGCAAATGTACGTTCATAAACAATCTCTGGAGTCACAGGACACAAATGACTGCCTGAATCCCTGAAGGAACGCTGCTGCCTTTCTGGCTTTGGCAGCTGCTTTCAGCTAAAACAAATGTAAAAAGATGAGAGAGAATCCGTTGGGAAGGTCTTAACTCTCCTCTATAAGATGACTCCAGGTCACCTTATGGCAGTGGTTCTCAACCTTTTTAATGCCGCGACCCCCGGTCGAGGACTACTCAACCGATCGTAAGTCGAAGACTTTCCCTGCCCGGGAGTGCCGCGCATGCGTGGTGCCGCCCCCTGCGCCGGCTGAGGCGTAACTGGCAAGGGGCAGCGACGGAACAGGCCAACCACTGGCTGGGCCACCAGCTGGCCCAGCCCAAGGGAGGTAAGGCACCCGCCAGGCCCCACGCGTGCCAGCAACCCTCCCTGCGCCCGCCGGTCTCCCACCTCCCACCCCTGGCCCTCTTTTACTTACATTTTTAGTAGTTGCTCAGCAGGGAGGGGTGGAAAATTCCAGGCAGCTCGCCTTCACTGCAGACAACGTGCAGCACCGTTTGCAGAATGGGACTTTTGGCGGGCTCAGCAGGGCAGAGACAGCCTGGACAATTCCTATTGGCTTTTGAAAGCCAATAGAATTATACTCTATTCAAGAGAGTCTATTCTATTGGCTTTCAAAAGCCAATAGAATAAAAGGGAGTAGCACAACTAAGGAAAAGGGGGAAAAATGGCGGACTGCATTGTTTGGCGACCCCCGTGAAATGGTCGTTCGACCCCAAATGGGGTCCCGACCCACAGGTTGAGAACCACTGCCTTATGGGGAGATGGGTGGCATAAAAATGTAATAATAAATAAATAGAAAATACTATTTACCAGCTATGCTGGCTGGGGAATACTGGGAGTTGAAGTCCACACATCTTCAACTTGCCCAGATTGAGAAACAGTGCTTGCTATTATTTATTATTAAGCACCAAATTTCTTCCCGTCACACATGAGTCATAGTGACTCATCAATTTATAAACCATTTTTGTGTTTAAAATATATATCTGAAATGATACTAGCAAAGATAAAGGTTTTAAAAATAATCTGAAATATATTAGCAAAGATAAAGGTATGAACAATTCTTTTGTACCTGCTACCTTCCGGGTGCTTGATGGGCTCTAGATCCCATTAATTTCAATCCTTAAATTAGGGATGTCACTGTATATAAGAATAAAGGCAGAAGAAAATAATACAACGTTGGACGTAGCACTTCCTGTCTTTAGGAGGAGCAGATTTGAAGAGGCAGATTACTTTCTGTCTCTATTTTGAAGTGATTTTGTTCTAAATTGAATGATGTCAGCATGTAATTTTGTATATTCATAGATATGGGATTTAGCAGATCCAGAGGGCAAAGGATTTCTGGATAAACAGGTATGTGAGTATATCAATTTTGAGATAAAGCCGCCTCCATCTGTTGAAACCTCTCCTTTGAAATATCTGGGTTGAAATTAGGGCCTCAACTCCAGTGTGAATGTCTGTTTGAAAAAGTGGAACACACAATTAGGTCTAGTTCTGCCTGAATATCGAGACAATGCTGTCCCTGAATGTCCCCCAGTCTGGTAAGCGAGCTGGACAGTCTATTGAAGAATGTTCTTTTTCATGAAAATAAAGGTACACATTGGGCTTGTGAACAGTGGGCCTTTCCCCCCTCATTCTCCTTGCTTTTCTGTCTCGTTCAGGGATTCTTCATTGCGTTGCGGCTAATTGCCTGTGCCCAGAGCGGCCATGATGTCATTCTCAGCAACTTAAATTTGACGTTACCTCCTCCAAAATTTGTAAGTGTTAATGTTGCCTTGAAAAGGGCTGTTTTTGACTGGAACATAAGTGGTCTCTGACAGATACAGAATTTAGAGTTTTTGGTTTCCTAAATTTGGTCGATAAACTTTATGACTTGGGGCTTGGTTGCCTGAGTTAAATATTTCTATATCTCAAAGGAAACCATAGGGAGTGCTTTGATGTATTTTATTTGTTATTACAGCACGACAATACAAGCCCCCTGCTGCTTGCTTCCGCAGATGCTCACTGGGCTGTCAGAGTAAGTGTCCAAGAGAAAAGTATCCAGTAGTATCCAGTAAGGAGACCCCTTTCTTAATTAAGCTTTTTAATTTAATTTGTGCCTCAATTGAACTCTACTGTATATTAAACTGAATGATTAATACCAATTTCATGTAAGTTACTGTATGCAGCACGAAGCTGAATTTACTGTTTTCCTAGTTGCGTAATACTACCTATATGCAACATTTACCAAAGAATGTATGCAACATTTACAAACTTTAACAATAATTTCAGGGAACTTGCAAATATTCTTTATAGTTAGTCCTCATTTAGTGACTGTCTCATTTAGCAATTATTTGCAGTTACAATAATGATGAAAAAATAACATTGCGACCAATCCTTTCATTTACGACCTTTGCAGGTCTGTAAAGCATAGGAAAGTTGAAATAAGATCATAAGCACTGTCACAGTTTCACTAAGCAACTGCTTTGCTTAATGACCAAGTTGCTGGTTGCAGTTGTGATTGTTAAATGAGGATTACCTGTAGCACTATTTTTTTGGTATTTCCAGGTGAGACTTTTACTATGCAGTCACCCTGCCTCCTTCACAAAATGTTACAGGGAATCCAGACAATGTTATCTTCCATTTGAAACTATCTTGTGTTTTCCTCCTGCTTCTTTCACATTTTCTCCTTCCAGAAAGATTCATTGTGGAAGAAAAGATAGCTATATAACATAATTTTTGATTAATAGACTCTAGTACTTGCCCATACGAAAGCATGATTTAATATAGAAATAGAAAACTGAATTCAAGATAATGTTTTGCATTCTGTGGAAAACAGCAGCTCAGTATAAACCGATTTTAGTCTGTTCCTTCTTAACTAGGTAGAAGAGAGGGCCAAGTTTGATGGCATTTTTGAAAGTCTTTTACCTGTCAATGGTTTACTTTCGGGAGACAAAGTGAAGCCAGTATTGATGAACTCCAAACTACCTCTTGATGTCTTGGGACGGGTGAGTAAAATTCTCCCTTCTTTTTTAGCTGTATGATTTGAGTGCATTACTTCGGCCTGCTTTGAATTAGGCAAATATTTGTACTAGAGTAAAGCAAGATTGGATCCTACCCAGAATTTCAAGCAATTTGGGCTCTTAAAATTCGGTTGTCATGGTTCCGACACATGAAACTCTTCAAAGAACTTTGAGGCATTGTTTACCTTAAAGAAACTTTATTCGAGCAGCATAGCATCGGCACATACATAAGTGAAGCCAAAATCTGGATTCCCCTCCCTTTTAGCACATAGTATCAAACACAATCCCCTCCTCTAATTAACAGTCATAAATCACATTCTCCTCCAATTAGTTTGAAATGTAGGCTTTCCCTCCTGTTCTCCAACCCACCATTTCTTATCTCTTATTTCAAAAGCCCTGAGTTCACACTAGTACAATATTGTTATGTCTAACTAACTCCCATTACATTCCTCCTCCCCACCCCCCATCCCCAGTATCATCTAATTCTAAGAGTAAAGCATAAGAAAGAAAAAGGCTGCATCTCCATATGTTGTGAAAGCAAGAACACCTGATGTTAGCAGCGTTGACATAGTTTCTGGTTTATTTATTTTGCTGCTTTAAAGAATGAGGGAACTGAGAAATGCTCAGTTGAAAGACCTGTATCCAAAAGCAGATTGCTCAAATATTAGTCTTGCTGACTCTTTTGCATGTGCTTTTAAAATCTACTATCATGCTTCTTGCCTTATGTTTTGCTGCTAAAAACGTTATTGAAGTTTTTAAATTGTTAGTTAGGCTTAACAGTTAAGCTCAGGTAATTATTAGACTTGCACATGGGGTACAGAAAGAATTAACCAGCTGAATAAAAAAAAATCTGGATTATCCATGATAAACCATAATGAAATGTCTTTTTAAAAAAAAACAACATTCCTTTCACTGCTCTTCTGATACATCCTTTTCCCTTGCATTTGTGTCCAAATGGTTATAGGTGTGGGATCTCAGTGATATTGATAAAGATGGGCACCTTGACAGAGATGAGTTTGCCGTGGTAAGTTTGCTATGCTTGCTTTTGTCATGTAACCGAAAGGGATTCCTGAATGCCTCACCTTCAGGGTCAGGGACAGGGTTATGTCCCAAGTCCTCATTTCTATAGAAGAGGCCGACCACAGTAGGAATCCACAATATCAAACTCCTTGGTTAGTTTTCCTTTTCCCAGGGTTCTATCCACCTCTGTTAGTCCAGCCTCCCTCCCTCCAGCCCTTGCCTGACCTGCTCTCTCATGCTTGGCACTACCTCTCCGCCATCTTCCCCTCCTCCTCCTCCTCTTCCTCCTCCTCCTCCTCCTTGTTGCCCTCTGCAGACGTCTTTTCCCTCTGGGCCTTGCAGGCGATGCACCTGGTCTATCGTGCCCTTGAGAAGGAATCCGTCCCCTCTGTGTTGCCCCCATCTCTTGTTCCACCTTCCAAGCGGAAGAAAGTGCCAATCTTTCCTGGGGCAGTGCCAGTTCTTCCAGCCAGTCCTCCCCCAAAAGACAGTTTGCGGTCCACTCCGTCACACGGCAGCGTCAACAGCCTCAACAGCACAGGAAGCTTGTCCCCCAAACACAGCCTGAAGCAAACACAGGTAGGTGTAGCCTCTAGCAGAGAATGCAAGCATATTGTGCAAAGGTGAGCCTTCCCCCCTCTTTTTTTTTTTTAAATTGGAGTGTGTATGTGTAGAAAGGATTGTGTCTAGGATATCTTTATATTTGTGGCATGTAAGTATAATGGATCTGACTAGAAGTTTTTTAAGTACAGATTTCTGTACTTGTGCTGAAATTGATCTTACGTCCATCCAACTCTGTATCCTACTTCAAAAATGACTACTTGGTTATCTGGAAAACTCCAAATAGTGGACAAGACTGTTCTTTCATAGAACTCCCCAGCAAAAGCATTGAGAAGCAAATTGAATATAGAGCCTCTACAAGCGACTCTTAGAGTGGCCATCACTTGAGATCTTTCTAAGGACGAATGTTGGAATGGCAAATCTGACAATCATGTTAAGCACAAGCTTGGGAATGGTGCTAGTTGAGGATGCAACCTGCAACTAGTCTTTCTGACTTTAAATGCTGGTCTCTAGCTCTGCATTATCAATGTAACTTGGTAGAAACCTCTCCTTAGCAGGGAGCCTGCAATGCTACCAAATTGCTCAGGGTGGATGATTTCTGGGATTGAATGGTGAAGAAGCCTCTTCTCAGGACCTTTATCCAGAATAATTGAAAAAAAAGTAGGTTAAAACTATAAGCTTAGTTTTTAGATAAATTTGTATTTGTGAAGACTGAGGAGTACTGGTGAAACTGGAAGGAGTAGTGACACGCAGCCAACGGTTTTTCTGCCCAAGTAACTTGGGAGAAAGTTGGTGGTGGGATGCTTTGTCTGTATCTTCTTACATGACTCTTTCATCTGCAAAACCAGTCAATTAAGAGGCTCTGTTCTTAATTCAGCCGTCTGCAAACTGGGTGGTGCCACTGACTGACAAGATTCGCTATGATGAAATATTTCTGAAGACAGATTTGGACCTGGATGGCTTTGTGAGCGGCCAGGAAGTGAAGGATATTTTCATGCACTCGGGGCTTTCCCAGAACCTCCTAGCACACATATGGTATGGATTTTTCTTCCCTTCTCTCTTCTATCATAGGAGATGATATTTTCCAGTCGAAACTACTGACGTTCTTAATGCCACAGACACTGTCTTGAGATTGAATTAGCTGTGGAATCAGCTGAAAGCTTCTGAGATACTCTGCATCTCTTGAACAGCAATTGTCTATTGAGCTGTCTATGGAAGCAGTCTGTTGTTGTTTTTCTGGCAGGGCTTTGGCTGATACAAGGCAAATGGGAAAGCTCAACAAAGATCAGTTTGCACTCGCCATGTACCTCATTCAGCAGAAGGTCAGCAAAGGCATTGACCCACCACAGGTGCTGCTCCCAGATATGATCCCTCCTTCAGAAAGGACCACTCCTGTCCAGGTGAATTCATAGCATAGACATCTATTCTGACACTCTCATGGGGGCCTTGCTTCCCTTTTCCTCTGGCAACTGATATGTTGCGGGGAAAAAGTTCTTACATCTGTTTACTGTTAAATGGTTTTGTCTTCCTGTTGCCAAAAACATGGGACCATATTTGGAGCAGGAAAGATAGCCCTGTTTGCTGCTGATGCTTTTGTTTTGAATCTATATTCTGCTAAAGCTCTCGGAGCTGTTTGTAACCTTCAAACGGGAAAAAAATTATTGAACCAAGGTAACCCGAATGGACTAATTTACACAATGCTCAGACTTCTGTGGGAGTAAAATTTTGGAAAGTTGTGGCCACTTCAGGACCTCCATGTTTTCTGACTACACTTCCCAGGAATCTGTAGGCTGTGTGATGGGAGGCAAGATGGGAGGGATACATCTCCACCCTCTTTCCCGTCTTCCTTTGGCCTCTGTGCCCAATTGCTTGATGAGCGGGCAGCCATTAACTGCTTGGAACCGAGGCCGAAATTGGCTGTGTCCACTGAGGGAAGGATGGTGACTCAGATACAATTTTTCTAGTGGTGTGATGCTCTTATTTGTTCTTCACTCCCTCCCTGCAAAGTGTCAGGGAGTTCTGCAGGCCAGCCAAGGAGGAGGCGGTGGCAGCTTCATCAGGCTCTCCTGAGGGGAAGGGAAATGGCACAAGCCTATATTATATGTAGGAAGAAGAATGGATGGCCTAGTATGCATATAATGATCCCCGAAGGGCAGTGCCAGGTTTCAGCAGTTGAAAATCTGGCTCTTGCGAACTGCTGTCTCTAAATCATCATGGCCCAGATGCAGTGACCTCACCCTCTTGCTTGTCTGTGCTCCTGTTCTCTTGTTTCCTCTTCTCTCTGATTCTGTGGGAAACTGTGCAAGTCCTCTTGTTTCACTGACTTTCCCCAGAATTGCCTGAGCTCCTGCCCCTTTGTCCTTTTTCCTCTAGACGCTCTCAGGCTACTTGGCCTCTGTAGGAACTGAGATCTCGACACTCTCAGAAATGCGTCGTGTGAGTAAATGGGGCACTCTGAAGAACGCAGCCCCTCCCCATCAAACCTCAGGTGGCATTTGCTTTGTCCATGCAAAACACCTTTTCCCACCTCAACAGCTTTGTGGAGTTTCCCCACATGATGCAGAGGGCAGGGTGGAGGGTGGCTGATGAGAAAGGAGTGCTTCTATTCCTGAGTCATCTTAAATGATTCCTAAGAGCAGCTCAAAAACGGATAAAAGTGGATCTTGATCCAGGCGTGTTTTCTTTTGCTGGCATCCTTCAGTACTTTGTGCGATGGGGTTTTTTTTTCTTTCTAAACTGTTTTCATCCTTGTCAGGCTTTTTTTTTTTTTTTTTTTTTTTTTGCTATTTCTGCTGCTTGACATTTTGGTTTTCTTCAAGGTGATTCACCAGCTAGGTATTTGTATAATTTAAGTGTTGCTATATCCCATACCACATGCCAGGGGCTGGAATTGTGCATTTGTAGAATGGGAATGCAAGAGACCTGCCGCGTGCTTGAATGAAAAGTACTGAATGTCCAAAATGAATGGGCTCGTGGGGCTGGGTGTGACAGGGGATCTGGCTGCTTCAATGTGACTATTTACTTTCTAACAGGACAGCTCAAGTTCTGTTGGATCAGGGGAATTCACTGGCGTGAAAGAACTGGATGATATCAGCCAAGAGATTGCACAGCTACAGAGGTAAACGAATATGTTTAGCCATAACAGAGAACAGGGGATGAGACAGTGGTCTCTTAGACAATTTCACGAGTTGCAGAGTTTGTCTTTATATAATCAATCGTGCAGCTATTTTAATATGCAAAGTGTGATGTAGGCTGTAAATGAATGGTTCTGTGTCATGCTCTGTAATTGACAGCCTCACAAGGTAGATCAGACCAGGAAATCAACTCCACAGAAAAGTCAAAACAATTTTGATTTTGTTTGGCTGTAACAGGGGTAGGCAACCTGGGCTCTTTTATGACTCGTGGACTTCAACTCCCAGAATTCCTGAGCCAGCCATACTGAGGGGAAAGGGAGAAGTTTCCAAGCTGAGCCATGCTGGATCAGGAATTCTGGGAGTTGAAGTCCACGAGTCATAAAAGAGTCAAGGTTGCCTACCCCTGGGCTATAATAATGGAATCTTGTGGGTCTGATTGTGCTGAAGCTCCTCCCCCTTCTTATATTCCAGTGAATCAGGGAGGCATTTTCCTGAGCTATTTCCAAAGGGTATTTTTCCACGTTCAGTAAAAAAAACAAAAACCAGAAAATCAAGTATTTTGTTTCAGCCCCTCTTGCCTAGACAATAGTTCCTGCACATCTCCATCAAAGCCTTCCTCCTTGCTCTCTAGAATAACCTCGTTATTGACCTTCTCTTTCATAGAATGCTGAGTGTAGCTGTGTTTTAAAACTCCAACTAATAGCCATAAACAATATAAAACTGCCATTAACCCAGCTTCAAAGTACAGGTAGTCCTCTTCTTATGACCACAATTAAGCCCCAAACTTTTGTTGTTAAGAGAGACATTTGTTAAGTGACATTTTGTGACTTTTCTTGCCACAGTTGTTAAGTGAATCACTGCAGTTGTTAAGTTAGTAACATGGTTGTTAACTGAATCTGGATTCCCCCATTGATTTTGCTTGTCAGAAGGTCACAAAAGGGGGTCCACTGCAACTGTCAAAAATATGAGTCAGTTGCCAAACCTCTGAATTTTGATCACGTGACCCTGGGGATGCTACACCAGTCGTAAGTGTGAAAAGCGGTCATAAGTCACTTTTTTCAGCGTTGTAACTTTAAATAGTCACTAAAAGAACTGTTGTAAGTTGAGGATTACCTGTGCATACATTATAACAACAATAATAGGAGGAAGGAGTATTAGGTGTGTTCGTTGCTTTGAGTTATTTATAAAAGCAACGAAGGCGGAATATAAGTAAGAAAAATAAAGTAAATAAAAAAATAATACCAGATGCCTTATTTTTAGCTGCAGAAGACTGTCTTTTCTGAGAATTTGTTCCGTTCCTAAGAATGAATTTGAGCTTTGACAAGCTGAGACTCTGGAGGTGTTAACAGAAAACAAGTTTTAAATTGCTAGAAATGTTCATGTTTGCGTGAATAGAAAAACTTTTTTCTTAGCAATTTAACTAGAACAGGGGTAGGCAACCTTGGCTCTTTTATGACTCATGGACTGGCTCAGGAATTCTGAGAGTTGAAGTCCACGAGTCATAAAAGAGCCAAGGTTGCCTACCCCTGAACTAGAACCACAACTTCCTCTTTGGAACTTGTTTGGAAAGGTGGTACTTTGTTGTCATGATTCAAGAACCCAAATTACTTGTAATATGCAACTAAAGTCAATGATAATTAAATATTTGTGAGAGTGTCATTCTCTAATTAGAACAAATACATCCATGATACCATTTTTTTCGTGGTTGCAATATTCAGATTTAGAGGAAAGAATTTTTACCTGGATTATTTTAAGTAAATTGCATGTCTCAGTTTGTAATATTTTTTTTCTTCCAGCCAGTCAGCGTTACAAGCCCATATCTTCTATAAAATATTTGTTTTTTTAATGTGATAGCTATGTGATCTTGCTGCATTTTAAAAAAAACAAAACTCTTGCAGATAGTTCTTAGCCTAACTTTTCATTTTTGGATAGTTATAACTTATATTGGCTAGATCAGCAGTCCCCAGCCTTTGTGGCTTGGCAGCCTGACTGGGGGTGATGGGGGAGAGGGGAACCAGGCCACAGGAATGGCAGGCTGGCACACGTGAGCAGCTCAACTTGCATAAGTGGCGGGGTGGTGTGCATATGCCCCACCACTCGCGCAAGTCGAGCTGCACACATGTGCGCCAGCCCACCACTCCCACAGCCCGGTTCCAAATAGGCCGTGGCCTGGTAGTGGGCTGCCATCTGGAGTTTGGAGACCCTTAGGCTAGATGAAGCATTATTTCAGATACATATGCCATGATTTTTGTTTGTTTACACTGTAGAGAGAAATATTCTCTGGAACAAGACATCCGAGAAAGAGAAGGAGCTATTCGACAGAAAACCAGTGAAGTTCAGGTAATGCTATGAATGGCCGAGTCTGTCTGTTTGTTCTTATCAGAACCCTAGTTCAAAGGTGATAAGACAGTGATGGCGAACCTTTTAGAGACTGAGTGCCCAAAACCCGCCTCCAGCTCCCCACCCCCCTCACCCCTGCCCTGCCAACTCCACCCCCGCTCCATGCTCCGCCTGCCCGCAAGGCCACCCAGATCGCCCAGGCAGCCCAGCAGTGCCATGGTGGCCACGCCTTTTGCCCGCACCCCGCAGCATCATCTGCATGTGACGGCACAAGAGTGGAGTCTTGTCCCCACTGCGCTGCTCTGTGCAGGCCACGCTCGGGGGCAACTCTCCAGGGGGGCTGCTGGTGAGGGGGGGGTGCAGGGGAGGCGGGGCTGGGGTGATGGCATACATACCCACAGAGAGGGCTCTGAGTGCCACCTCTGGCACGCGTGCCATAGGTTTGCCATCACTGTGATAAGACAAACTACCTCCCCTATTAAGGAAGATCATTTTCTTCAGTGAAAAACAGTTTTTTCTTCAAGGGCTTCTGTCTTCTCCCTCACATGTTTTTCAGAAAGAGGAAGAAAATAAGATTGTTGTTTGTTTAATAACCCTTACTCTAGAATCCAACTAGAGTATTGGAACACAAATATGAAGCAGCAATCCCTAGATTTAAAGGAGGAGTCTACATAAATCCAAAGGCCTTATTTGCTTTTTTTTCTCATCGTATAGGTGACTGCAATATTTTAGCACTGGCTATTGAAAAGCTTTTGTAGGAATTGGTGGGGAATAAGCCCTAATATCCTGGCATTTGATCTCCTTTTTAAAGTTCTTTTAGTAACCCAATTCCAGCATGGCTTCCAAAATGACAAATGACAGACAGACTTTCTAGCATGTGTGGAAGATAGAAATGTGTTTGTTTAACACATTTATATAGCCTCACTTCTTCCCAAGGACAAACTCGCTAGATAGATTTGTTCCAAAAGATAGGCATCCTGACAGAAAAGGCACATTTCCTAGGGTCCACCAGATGACACTCTTTCCTTAAAGCTAGAGTAAGGCCATTCTATCAGGCTTACTGGAATAGATTAAAACTGAAGCATTAGCTCAGGTAACAGGCTTCTCATGCCATGTAGGGCTTTAAAGACATGCATGCAATAACCCAGTGGGATACAGTGCAGTTCAGTAGCAGCGATATTGTGTGGATGCATCATGGTGTACCCAATACTGCACATGACATTGCATTTTGGACTAGGTGAAGCTTCTGAATGTTCTTCAAGGGTAGCCCCAGGTAGAGCATATTGCAATAGTCCAGTTGAGATTGACTAAGATATGAGAGGCATGAGCAGTGCCTCCTGGTCTAGGAATGGCCATAACTGGCAAACCAGATGTAACTGTACAAAAGTTCTTGTGCCACAGCCACCACTTGCTTCTTGAGTAGAAACCACAAGTCCAGGAGAACCCCCAGATTGCACACCAACTCCGCCTGAAAGAGTGTGATCACACCCAGAATTAGGGAAAATCACTACATACAAGAGACCCTAAGCCAGGGATCCCCAACCTTGACAACTTTAAGACATACTGGCTGGGGAATTCTGGGGGTTGAAGTCCACAGGTCTTATAGTTGCCAAGGTTGGGGACCCCTGCCCTAAGCCTACAGCCATTCAGTTTTACCAGGATTGAACGAAAGACAGTTCTTCTCCATCTAGACCTCACAGCCTCCAAACACTGAGAAAGTACATCAATAGCATCATTTGGACATCTTAAGGCAGAAATGAATAATTGAGTTTTATAGCATACTGATGATACTGAACAAAGAGGAGATTTAATAAAGAACTATCTGCGCCACTTACAGTCTGTCTAAAGGGATATCATGATCAATGCCTCTGAAAGATCAAGGAGATACGCTGTCCACATCCCAGGTCTGTGAGAGGTCACTTACATATGCAATCAGTGCCTTTCTGATGGTAATCTCATCCTGAAACCTAACTGCAATAGATTCACATAATTTGTTTCCTCCAGAGCCCTTCAGTGTTTCAGCCTTACTACTTCTTCAATAACTTTCCCCAACCTTTCCTCATTGGTGTCTAAGTTTTTAGTCCTTCAGGCCTTTTTATTCTTCCAGGAGGCAGAAATAATTCTTAGCTTTGATCTGGTTCTCTTTTTTTTTTCTCTGATAAATATTCAAGTCTGTGACCTTTGAAACCAGGATGACAAAATGTTATGATAATTGCTCTAGTTTATTTTGTCGATGTGTCTTTAGTATCTTCCGTGTTACATATATATCTGATGCCCTAGTTTACATCTTCATAGAGCTGTGTTAACAAACATTTTTCCAGGAACTGCAAAACGATTTAGATCGGGAAACTAGCAGCTTGCAAGAACTGGAGGCTCAGAAGCAGGATGCTCAAGATCGCCTTGATGAGATGGACCAGCAAAAGGCAAAGCTGAAAGATATGCTAAATGATGTTAGGCAAAAGTGCCAGGAAGAGTCACAAGTGGTGAGTGTGAAAGAGCAAATCAGGCTGGCTGAGTGGGATGAAATCCATTTTCAATTATTTTTATTCGCTAGAATGTAGAATATTTCTTCGAAGAATTAGAGCAGTGGTTCTCAACCTGTGGGTTGGGACCCCATTTGGGGTTGAACGACCATTTCACGGGGGTCGCCAAACAATGCAGTCCGCCATTTTTTTCCCCTTTTCCTTAGCTGTGCTACTCCCTTTTATTCTATTGGCTTTTGAAAGCCAATAGAATAGACTCTCTTGAATAGAGTCTAATTCTATTGGCTTTCAAAAGCCAATAGGAATTGTCCAGGCTGTCTCTGCCCTGCTGAGCCCGCCAAAAGTCCCATTCTGCAAACAGTGCTGCATCAGTTGAGTAGTCCTCGACTTACGACCGGTTGGGGGTCGAGGCATTAAAAAGGTTGAGAACCACTGAATTAGAGTAATGTTCAGAGAACTTACTGAACATGCTATAAGTTGAGTGATATGAGAGTGTGACCAATGTTGTAAACTTGACCAAAGTTTATACATAAATTACGCAGATAAATTTATGGCATAGAAATCTATCAACTATCTTCTCATCTGTCCTGACTAAACCTCCATCTTTGGTGGTGGTCTGCAGTCAGGTATAAGATACTGAGATGCGAAGTAGAAGGTGGTTATCAAACTCCATACTAGTTTTTAAAAATCTTTCCTGCTACCAAATCTTGACTTGAAATCTTTGTTTCAGATCACATCATTAAAAATGCAAATTCAGTCCCAGGAATCAGATTTAAAGTCCCAAGAAGATGATATCAGTAGAGCAAAAGCTGAGTTGAATCGGCTTCAGCAGGAAGAGGCCCAATTGGAGCAGAGCATCCAGGCTGGGAAAGTACAACTTGAAACAATAATCAAATCTTTAAAATCCACTCAGGAAGAAATTAACCAGGTAGCGTGAACATTTCTGATAACTAGATTCTTGTCTTCCCCATTTTGGTAACAAAGGCTGATTATATCCAATCAAATCTGTTTTGTAGATTCGGTATATTAGAACTTACCACGAAGACATTGTTACTCTCTGCTTTGAGGAAATGTGTCTAATTCTATCATTCATTAAAGGTTTTCCATTTTTGAAAGCCAAACTCCATTCCACTGGGTGGGGGTTTTTTTTTGTTTTGTTTTGTTTTGGAAGAGGAAACAATCCCTTATCTCCCTGCTTTGATTTTAATTGCAGTTTTTTTTTTCAATCTAACCTCAGATTTAAGGGGAAATTAATAAAAAATATACTCCCGGGTTTATACTAAAAACTATTCTAAATATTTTCACTAATACCGAAACCTTTTCTGATGTCATTTTTTGAAAATCGTAGTACAAGTGCAAAAAATGTGTACGCTTCAACCTTATTTTTAAAGGTATTCAGATGATTCAGTGGAGGTAGTCCTCAATTTATGATCCCACTTGGGACCAGAATTTCCACTGCTAAACAAGACATTTTTTTAAGTGAGTTGCTCCCCGTTTTCAAACTTGTTTGTTAACGGTTGTTAAGCTAATCATTGTAATTGTTAAGTGCTGCAACTGTCATAAATACATGCTGTTGTGCCCAGATTTTGATCAGGTGACTATGGGGATTCTGCTACGGCTGTAAGTACAAGAACTGGTCGTGTCACTTTTTTCAATGCCATTGTAACTTCAAACGGTCATTAAATGAATGGCTGGGAATTGAGGTATCCAGGTGAAAGTAGTCTGAAAGTTGCACCTCTTACCATTTAAGATGATAAGAAAATCTACTGTATGTAAAAGTAAAAACAATTTGGTAGTAGAACTATTTATCCAGGGAGATGGTGGATTCCCCTTTGCCTGGTACGTTCAAGCAGAGGCCATCGGTCCAGAATGCTTTAATCTGCCTTTAGTTTGGACTAAATGGCTCCTTTCAGTTTCCAGTTCTATGATTTTAGGCCTGTAAGTGGGAAGATATAAAGCTTTTTATCAGTGGTCTCTTTCTAACTTTGGTTCCATCCTTCCCCTTACAGGCAAGGAGTAAGTTATCTCGGCTTCAAGAGACCCTTCAGGAAGCCAACCAGAGCATCGAACAATACAACGAAGCCTTAAATGGACTTCACAGTGGCAGCATGACTAACCTGGCAGATCTGAATGAGGGAAACGTCCAAAAAGACCGGGGCGGGTTTGGGACCTTGGTGAGAAATGGTGCAGAATAGATGGAGTGCATGTGTACATGGCCCTATGTATGGCGGGACGTGCTTGGAGAGGAAGGAGTAGGTAAAAGGTGTGGATAAGAATGAGAGTAGTGGAAAACAACATATCCTTGCTATATTTGGCTTTGACATGCCACCCATTTCTACCCTCTGCTGCATTCTTGGTATTTTTCAACATCTTTTTCACTCTCAGATTGTGATGGTAATGAAACCTTTTTTTGAATTTAAATTGTTTACTGGTGATTCCATGAATAGAACTATCTTGTTTTTTTGGCAATCTTACGGAAATGATTTGCCATTGTTTTGGGATCATAAGTTCCAAATTTCCTAGTGATCTCCATCCAAGTATTACTAGCCAAATCTAACTCCACTGAGCATTGATATCAATTCAGGTCAATTAGTGCCTTGAGGATTACCCGACAATGGGAGCTGGCAATCTTTCTGAAGCTGGTGGGATGCGTTTTTATTTTAAAAACATCATCCTCTGAAGGCTAAAAACTATGCAGCAGTTAGCATGAGGATGGTCTTAGAGAAATGAAGAGAAACTGAAATGAATAATTTGCATTTTATTCCAATTTAGAAACTGGAAATAATCCTGCCAAATATTCTGCATTTGCTACAGATTGTAGTAGATTTAATAGAAATGCTCTAGCAACTACAGACTGGGTGATATTGATAATGGGTTGCTCATCTCTGCAGTAATAAAGTTCTTGATTTAAAAAAAAAAAAACCCTCTTGTTGGATAGCTTGTCCTGTCTTACCCATTTAGATTGCAGCTCTTTATGCTGTCCAAATATCAGGATTGTGAAGTCCAGTCCTAGCAGCTGGGTTTCAGATGAGCTGCAAGGAGATGCCCATTGGGTTGTCTCCTTGGAAAACAAGGATGTTTATGTCCATTATATGAAGATTTTAATAAGGGTCTAGTAGTGGCTAATAAGGGTCTATCCACATTGTCATTGGAAGTTCATTTTTTTAATTTAAAAATTAAAAGCTGCAAAAAATGGTTAGAAAAAGAAAATCTAATGGCTGTCATCTAGCCCTTCAGTCCCAAAACATGACTTCATGTTTTGGTGTCTGATAAATACAATTTCAGTATACAAGATAAATAAAAGAATGTCTAGAATGAGGGCTATTAAACAAGTTAAAAATTAGGGGTAAAGAAGCAGTTGTTAAAACTGGGCTAACCTTGAAACTATTAAGAGATTGATATTAATGGATGTTTATCTTGGCCACCTTAACTTTGATTGAGAGGTCCCTTGAGGCTCACACCTTCGCCTGCTGGCCATCTGATCTTCATGATCACTTTATGTTTGATTCCAGGATGATCCATTCAAGAACAAAGCCCTACTTTTCAGCAATAATGTCCAGGAGTTGCAGACGGACCCTTTCCAAACTGAGGATCCCTTCAAAGGAGCAGATCCCTTCAAAGGCAGTAAGTCTCCATAGGACAGGAGGCTGTTTGGCCCTTTAAACTCTGCCCAGACATAGAAGCAGCAGCCAATTGTTACAGCCTTCCTTGAATCTGGAAGTGAATTGACTATTTCTAATAGTAGTAATAATAATAAAGTTGGAAGGGACCTTGGAGTCATCTAGTCCAACCCCCTGCTCAAGGAGGAAACCCTATACCATTTCGGACAAATGGCTGTCCGGTCTCTTCTTAAAAACTTCCAGTGTTGGAGCATTCACTGCATCTGGAGGCAGGTTGTTCCACTGGTTAATTGTTCTAAGTGTCAGGAAGTTTCTCCTTAGTTTTAGGTTGCTTCTCTCCTTGATTAGTTTCCATCCGTTGCTTCTTGTTCTGCTTCTGGTTTTGCCTTCAGGCGCTTTGGAGAATAGCTTGACTCCCTCTTCTTTGTGGCAACCCCTGAGATATTGTTTATCACTATCAGGACATTTTAGAAGCAAAGTAAAAACACTCCTCTTGAATGAAGAATTACACCTTAAAAAGTGTTTTCAAATTCCTATTTTATCTTAGTGTTGCTTTCTATGACTTTTGATTTATGTTTCTTTCTCCTTCACACAGGCGACCCTTTTCAGAATGACCCTTTTGCTGAACAACCTCCTGCAGGAGCTGGTAAGATAAATATTTTAAAGTTTCAGATTATTTATTTATTACTTTAAAAGTTAAAAGTTTCTGTCTCTGGATGCGAGGTGCCTAGGCAGTAATATTTTTATAACAAGCCATCAAGGGAAACCATGTAATCTAATGTGAATTGTAGTCAATAGGTTCATGCATGGTGAGTAAAACTAGCCCTAATACATCATAACAAAACAAAGCATCCCATAGTTCACTGATGTCAAATTCGATTGGGCCACGTGACATATTGTGACATATTGTGGGTTTTTTTTGCCTTTGTGGAGCTGGGCTGGGCATGGCCTGCACTGATGCATCTGGCTCACGGGCCGCCAGTTTGACACTCCTGCCATAGTTAGAATAGTAGCCGTTATCCAGGAGAAGAGCCTTTTCTGCTGTGGTTCTTGTCCTTTGGAACATTCCCCCCCCCCAATGAAATCCGCACCCACCCTTTTAGCCTTCAAAAGAGACTGAAGATCTGTCTCTGGAAGCACATCATTCAGGAAGTTTTTAATGGATTAAGACCCCAACTCTGTGTATCTTGCTCCCTTCCTCCCTATCTCTGTCATTTTAAACTAATCTAATGTTACAATCCATTGCTTTAATGCTTTAATGTTTTTATTACTTTTTAATTATTGTAAGCCCCCTAGTCTCACCTCCAGGTGAGATGGGCAGCACATAAGTTGAATATATAAATAGTTAACAATAAAATGGCTATCAGATCAGTAGAGTCATAGAGGAAAGGCTATGCAGTGCAATTCCTTCTTCAGATATTTAAGTTAAAATATTCCATATACACAGTCCTGGGTCTCCTGAACACATCTAAGTGAAGTGAGCCCCTACTTGTTTGGATAGTGGATTTTGCTGTTCCTGTACTTAGAAATGCTTTTATAACATTTAATTCAAATCAGCCTTCCTGTACTTGATTTGTCTTAATCTCCTGTTAATCTTCTACCTTTAACTGTCCTACATCAGATCCATTTGGAGGTGATCCATTTAAAGAAAGTGACCCATTCCGGACATCTGTACCTGAGGATTTCTTTAAAAAGGCTGAAAAAAGTGATCCATTCACTTCAGACCCGTTCTTGCAAAATTCCACACTGCCCTCTAAAGTAAGGAGGTTTGGCTTATTCTATTTATTCCTTAGACTTTTGCCCGACTGTAGTTGAATGGTTAACAATAAAGCAAGATTAATATAATCCACAATTGTACAGCTAAAAATCTACAGTAAGAAAGCTTTAAGTTAAAGCTAAGTTATTCATATGAAAATCAAGATCATGGGAAGTGAAAGTACCATTCTGGGCTGCACTGGTCAGGCCACACCTGGGATGCAGTGTCCAGTTTTGGTCACCACAATATAAAAGAATGCTGAGGAACTGGAAACAGCATGTCATGATGTAGATCAGGGGTCTTCAGACTTGGCCCTTTTATGCTTGTGGACTTCAACTCCCAAGAATTCCTTAGCCAGGCACTCTAGGACTCTGCAGGGAGGGGGGGGAGAGAGCGAGAGAGAGCAAGAGAGAGAGCGTGCAAAGATGCTCAGTGAGGCTTCTTGCCAACAAGGGAGTACTTGCCTTAATTAAATACAGCTGGCTGAAGCCTTAATTTAAGAGGCAGCTGTGACCCACATTTTCTTGTTGGAAGCATCTATCAGATCTTCTGTGTCTGACATGCCATTGCCTCCTGGTTGTGTAAGAAATCTGAAAAACTGATTCTCAAACCAGCTGACAAATCATGTTTGGCTCTCCTGACTTTGGATTGGATCTTGAGTAGGCTTCTGTGTGCTTCTTTGAAAAATGAAATCTATTCAGGACAAGCCTTATAATCTCTAGAGACTGCTTGATTTATGCTCCTTTGCTTGTCTGCTATTTGTTTCCTTAGTCTGGAGTAAATTGCTTACTATCTTTTAGCAACTGTATGTGTTTGAAATCTGAAACAGGATGGAATACAGAAGAATGACAAAGCTTGGATGATAAATTTTGTGAAAAGCAGTTAAAGGAACTTGATATATTTAGCCTAAAGAAGAGTAGGCTAAGGAGAGATTGGATACCAGATTTCTGATGCAGGAAGGACTGTCACAGGGAAGAGAGTGTGGGTTTATTCTCAGAGCACATGAGGATAAAATAAGAAGCAATTCTTGGAAACTTTACAGAGGGATAGCCAAACATTAAATAAGGAGGAATTTCCTAACTATTGGAGCTATTAAACAGCGGAAGAGCCTGCTTCCTAAAGTTGTGGATGTTCCATCACTGGAAGTTTTCAAGATAAAATTGGACTGTCATTTGTCGGGAGTGATATAAGGATTCCTATACTCAGCAGGATTGTTGGACTAAATGACCTCTGAGGTCCATTCCAGTCCTGTGATTCTATCAAATAAATACTTATCAAAGGAACATGTTGCCAGCATAATATCAACAGCCACAAAGCATAGAGACAGCATCATCGCAGTCTCCATAACCAATCTGGAGGAGGCTGCATTTTCCAGAAAGTAATTTGATGTAGCTGTTTTGATCCTTTCGGATCACTTATTACACCACCCCTCAGACTAATAGTCCCCTAGCATAATTTGCAAAATAGCAAGGAACCCAGCAAAATTGCCACAGTGTATTATAAAATCACAAAGATCTGTGAACCTGGGTAAATGGTCCTTGACTGATGCCAGCATATAGGGTCAAACAAGCCGCTTGAGTGCAAGCATTTCAGAAATCCATCCAGCCCTCATTTTTGGTGGTCAAAGGAACTCTTGAGACGGCCATTATTGCAGCAGAGTGAAAGTAATGGTATTTAAGGTATAGAGCTCTGGAATGTCTCTATAGGTGACCAACACTTAGTGTTCCTCGGCGCAAGCGTGGAACTCTGTGACTTCCAGAGTCAAGCAAGGATGAGGCCAAGAGGTCTTTTGCCCAGTTCTACCTGTTGTGCCAGTTGCAGCTCTAGCTTGGGTGTCTTATTACGTTGACTCCTGGCCATCACCATGCATCTGGACTATGTAGTATATTCAGCTGCCTTTGAAGACTCTTCAAAACCTGCAACTCACTCAGAATGATATGGTTCATGTGTTGCCCAGCACTTGGTGCTTTGCTCAGGTGGTGTCAGTTCTGTGGAGGCTGTGCTGGTTGCCATTAGGATTCCACAGGCACTTGAATGTGCTGGTTTTATCTGATAAAACCTGTTACAGCTTGTCCATGGATATCTTCAGGAGTGCCTCCACCACCGGATTCAGTTTATCTGAGACATCTTTCCCAGGAGAAATGTTGGTCATGCTCCATACTGGGAAATAAGGGGGCAAAGCTCAGAGGCATTGCTTTTCTGTGATGGCCATGGTCCTCTGGAATGCCTTCCCCAGAGGCAAGACTGACTCCAGTGGAAATAATTTTTGGGTACTTGTGAAACTGAGTTCTGGAAAGCCTGGGGCAACTTGTAACACCGTTAGGATTATGCGCTGTGATTTTTTTAAAAAAATGAACTGGATACTTGTTTTATTTCATAATTGTGAAATGCCAAGAATCCTGAGATGTGATAGAATATAAATTAAATACTATACAGGTAGTCCTCATTTATAACGACCACTCGTTCAGCGACTGAAATTATGATGGCATTAAACGAGGGGTACTTACCATGGGCCCTTTAGTTGTGGCCATTATAGTTACCCCCATGGTCACGTGGTTGTGATTCGGGCACTTGGCAACTGGCTCCCAATTACAACATCACAGAATCTCACGGTCAGGTGATCATCATTTACAGCTTCACTACCAGCTTCCGACAAGCAAAAGTCAAATGGGGAAGCTGGCAGGAGGTCTCAAGTGATCACGTGACATTGTGCTTTACAATAGCAGAGAATTAGTTTGATAAAGACAATTGGAAGTGTCGGAATTGCTGTCACTAAGAAGTACAGTCACATTTCGTGCTTTGTGACTGATGGAAATTCTGATCCCAATTGCCATTGTAAAGTGAGGTCTACCTGCAACATGGTTCTCTTCCCTATCTCTAGCAAGCCAAGTTCCTCTAATGTTTTTTTTTTTCTTCTGCTCTCTGTTTTAGCCAAACCTCTTTGAGAACAGTGATCCTTTCCTAACTCTGAGCATGTCTTCTTCGAAAGGGCCAGGTAAGAACAGAGATGTTCTTCCTTTCTCCTTCTGCTCGACAAGTTTGAATTCATCATTTATTTCCCATTGTCCATATTTACATCCATCCATTTTCAGCCAGTAGTATTTGCATAAATCACAGAGGCAATCATAAATGAATTTTGTGTACAAAGCAGAAGGGGAAAGGTTTACTTGTGATCAAGTTTCTCCCGCATTGCAAGCCTCCTTTATTTGGCTAGATGTTCCCGGGACACAGATTTGCCAGAACTCATTCTGCATTTTGATCGTTAAAACTCAGAATCATTGCACTGTTGATGTTTGCTTTCAGATCCTTTTGGGACATTAGATGCCTTTGGTAGCAGCACCTTCAGCACCCATAGTAGTGAAGGATTTGCAGATTTCAGTCGGATGTCAAAGGTAAATTTCTTTCAGAAGGTTTTTTTTTTCTTTGCTAAGGGAAATGGGAAGGTTGCTTTCTGCTTTCTTTCTGATGACATTACCTAATCAGGTAATGAAATGTCTGCAAGCACACAGCCAAGCTTAGAGAGCACCAAGGATTCCACAATAAAAGAATCTAATTATCTTTTTCCTTTCACAAGCAACATGAACCAGCTTCATAGGTCTTGTGCTTGTGAGCAGCTTGGGTCCAATGTTTCAATTCTTACCGTACTTTCTGGCATATAAGATGACTTTCACAAGCATTAAAATTGGCGCCGAAGACCGGGGTCGTCTTATATGCCGAGTCTTATACGCCGAGTCTTATACGATATTTATGAAGCAAATTGAGTTTGGCTCATTCTGACATAGTTGCTACATATTATTGGGTAAATGGCCATTATTTCTTCTTTTCCACAGCTCAGCCTATTCTGCAGGGCTCTAGAAATGGTTATGGAACAGAGACCATCCTTTTCCAGTGTTGAGAGAAACACTTTTTACATGTTTAAAACATTTTTAACAAAAGGCTATTTATCCCACTAGATGGCAGCAACTGTTTTTCCATATCAGGGTGTTCAGATTCACTTAGTTAAGCAGCCAGAAAACTCATAGTCTTTTTATCCTATCCAAACCCTTCTTTTCCTTCTGCAAATCTGCAATAAAATATTTACTATAAATATATGGACAGGGGGTTCAAGAACAGGACAAACAAAATTAACCTTCAAGGGTATTTTCTGTGAAAATCCATAACTCAACGTAAGGTTCATGCTTTAATTGCAAACAGTCTCAGGTTCCTTGGATCTTTCCTCCACAAATTTTATAGCAGCTATTGTGAAAAGCTCTTTAACGTGATTCTAAATCATCGCTGCTCTTTAGAATTGATAGTAAAGTAGAATCTCAGACCAGAGGTGGTCCATCTAGTCAATATCCCTGTTTCTCTTAGTCGCAAACAGATGTCTCTAGAAGACTTAGGAGCAGGACATATGAGCAGGCAAGTAGCTCCTTCCTCTCTGTTGTTGTCATTGTGTAATTTCTGGCATTCCGATGTAAGCTGCTGCTAGTTCTGGAGGTGGAAGGGTCAGTAGTTTGGCTAAGTAGTTCCAGTGGCTCTAGAACACTCCAATATATTGTCTGGTGACTAGAGAGAGTTCAGCCCAGAACCCGGTAGTTCTCGACTTACAACAGTTTGTTTAGTGACCGTTCGAAGTCACAGTGGCACTGAAAAAAGTGACATGATTTTTCACACTTATGACTATTGCATCCCCATGGTCATGTGATTTATATTCGGATGTTTGACAACCAATTCATATTTATGACAATTGCGGTGTCCCCAGGGTCATGTGACCACCTTTTGCAGCTTTCTGACAAGCAGTCAGTGGGGAAGCCAGATTCACTTAACAACCATGTTACTAACTTAACAACTGCAGTGATTCACTTAACAAATGTGGCAAGAAAAGTCCTAAAATGGGACAAAACTCACTGAACAAAATTCTCACTTAGCAGCATAAATTTCGGGGTCAATTGTGATCGTAAGTTGAGTACTACCTGTAATCTTCGGTATGCTTTAAGCCTTAAGGAGCAATTTATTTATCAAATATCAAATTTTTCACCAAAAATTACTCTGGGCAGCATACAATAACATACAATACAATAAAATAATATAAAATCAAGGGTTATAAAAACAGTCATAAATATGAACAATCATGATTAAAAATGAAAATATTTAAAAACCAGAGGGTACAAAGTAGACGATAAGGGTATAAAGCACATACAGTTAATCCTTGATTTACAGCCATTTCTTTAGGGACCTTTTGAAGTTACAGTGGTACTGAAAAAGGTGACTTATGGTAGGTCTTCGCACTTACGACTGTCACAACATCCTCATGGCCACATGATCAAAATTCAGGTGTTTGGCAACTAGCATGTATTTATGATGGTTGCAGTGTCCTGGGTTCTTGTGATTGCCATTTACAATCTTCCCAGCCAGCATCCAACAAGTTAAATCAGTGGGGGAAACAGATTAATTTAAGGAGTGCATGATTCACTTAACAACTATGGCAACCAAAAATGTAAAATTGGATGAACTCACTTAACAACTGCCTTGCTTAGCAACACAGATTTGACCCCAGTTGTGCCTGTAAGTCAAGGACTACCTGTATCAACCACAGTATAAGGGAGCCACCTTAAGATATTGCTGATTCCCTGGGAACCCCAAACCTGAGATCTAACCAGGTCAAAACCAATTTGAGGAATCAGGTCTTGATTCCTCAACATTAAAACAGGAATGGAGCTAATCTGACTTTGGGGGTGGGGAATGTTCCATGAGGCCATAGCAGAGGAGGCCACTTTGTGGGATCCATCAATGTAGGTCCCTCGCAGATAGTACTCACGGCATGCCCTGTTTGGTGGATCTAATGAGACGGGCTGATGTAATTGGGGAGAGGCAGTACCTCAGATATGTCCCATACCATGAATCCAAGTCCGTGACTTCTGTATTTCTTCCTATACCGAATGCCAGGATAGTCTAAACCAGGGCTCTTCAAACTTGGCCCTTTTATGACTTGTGGACTTCAACTCCCAGAATTCCTCAGCCAGGCACGTGTGCCTGGCTGAGGAATTCTGGGAGTTGAAGTCCACAAGTCATAAAAGGGCCAAGTTTGAAGAGCCCTGGTTTAGACAGTGAGTAGATTGATTTTACTAGAGCTCTGCCCACCCAGGAAACCCAAGCACAGCTTCACATGGTGTGCAATGGCAACTTGTGTCGGAGTGTAGGATTGTGTTCCCGCTATTGACAAATCCTTTGCAGTTATTCAACGTCTAGTTTTGCTTTCCCCTCTTTCCTAGTATTTGGATGTGGAAGGGGCTACGCTGGGACTTAAGAAGCAGTGTTTTGTGTGTGTGCGTGTACATGCGTGTATCTAGTGTTTCTCAACTTGGAAGAAATTTATTACAGACTTAGACATGTGCAAGCTTGTATATACTGCTGCCTCACTACTCCATGCCTGCCCTTTGGGCAAAGTGGGACCTGCTACCATTTTAAAACACACCTTTCTGAAAACCAACACTGATATTACACCCAAAGCTGCTGAACACATGGCTTGGGGATTCTTCTGTCAGCTTCTCTGCTGTCTTTCCAAGGTCCTTCTCTTCCCTCCCCCTCACCTCTCAACAGGCTTGCAACGGAGCCTGTCCTCCTCCGTCCTCTGCATCCGCACCTGATTTTTTTTTTTTTCCCTTTGCTTCTCTGTGCAATAGTCTAAATGCAGATCTTTCTCATGCAGCCTCCGGCTTCTGATCCATTCTCCTCTTTTGGAGGAGCTGGATTCTCTGATGATCCTTTTAAGACTAAAGCAGACACTCCTGCCCTCCCGCCGAAGAAAAACATACCTCCCAGGCCTGAGCCACCCAGTGGTGAGTTATATTTCTTTTGGGATGCTTGCTCACCAATGACAGCAAATGGTTGGCCAGTTTTGAGGGGAGTGGGGGTGGTGAAACTCTCTTGAGTTTCCTCTAAAGCAAACTTTTTCTAGGGAATAGCTTTTCTCCTCCCCATCCCTCCCTCCCTCTCTTATACTTTCACTTGTTTGCTTTGATTCCCTTCTGCCGTGCCTGCCTCTTTTGCTCTTTCTGTTCCTCTGCTGGAATAATTGCAAGGTTTCTGGAAGCTACATACCAGTTTCTGTGCTCGGTGGCTTGAGTTTTCACTTCCCAAGTTCCCAACAAAATAGACAAATAGAAATCAAACGAAGTAATTTTATATTGTTATTGTTTCTTCCACCGTGGCTTTTCATAGGCTGAACCAAGTTGCTATGTGTCTTTTCTCCCTGGCTTTGCTTTTCCCACCCTGCATGACACCAACAGGAGAAGTCACGAAATAATTTTGTGAAATGCAAATGTTTCTCTCTGCGGTGATCTTGTTTTATGCGCACATGACTGCACGCACGCATACACAAAATTCAAAATCCCCTTTAGAAATGTTTTTGGGCTGGCAGGTTCTCCTATCCTACAGTTCATAGTATAAATAAGTACTTCTTGGCTTTAGGCTTGGCTGAGATCCTGGATGGTCTAATTTGGCCAGCGTGGGACAGGAGCAAAAATTTTTGCTGCTTCCCCCACCTCTCCAAATCCAGAGAAGATTCATTAACCTCTACAGACTTCTTCTCACCCTGCTGCTAAAGGTCTAACACAGGTTGCAGATAGTGCTATGCTATGCTGCTCAAGGGTCCAGAAAGGAGCCGTGTAACTGTACCATGGTAATGTGAAGAATGTCAAAGAGTTTCCCTACCAGAGGTTAGTTGCTCGTTTCAGTCATTTGGGCATGAAAACTCCCCTCCCCTTTTTTTTCTCATTAAATATCTGCTAAAAACTGTCAGTTAAGACCTCTCCTAAGAGTTCAAACAGATGATTAGTGCAAAAACAAAAAAGGAACCTAACTGCTGATAAGAGATCTCTCAGTGCTCACCGCTATCTAGCTTCTAGGTAAAAGTTGTTGAGCCTCAAAAGAGAGAAACAGATTTTTTTTCTAAGTACAGGAAATGTCTGTGTGGGTGTCAGTGATTGCAAGTCAATTTAGTGTAGCCCTTGTAGGTCTGTGATCCTGAGACCAGCTGCCTCAGCCCCACCCAGACTCACATCCTCTTAACATGCCTTGAGCAGCAGTGCTCGCCAGCAATATCAGAAAGCACATTCTTCTATTGACATAGAAGAGTTAGGGTGACAGTGTTCTTCTAAACCTGCAAGGGACAATAATACTGTAGTACAGCAAACCTGCCATTCTTTTCAAAACATTCATTAGGCCTCATCCAGTTGGTTGCTATCTGAATCAAGTTCGTTTCCATTTTTTTTTTTTTATTGAAAGTTTTATAAATTTTACAAAAAGACAAAAATAATACAAAACAAAAAACAACATATACAAAAAAAACTAAACATCACATATAAACCCCCCCCCATCCCCCACCCCTCACAAACACCCTCCCTTCCCCCCCCTGAGCTTCCCAGAGCAGAATATAGGCTTAGTTAAAAATTAACAAATAAAAATAAAAAATTAGATTAAAAAATTTATATTTATATATATATAAAAAAAGTATCTATATATAACATTCTCTATATATAAAAATAAAACTTATGAAAAAGCTATGTGATATTTTTTAATACCCAATCTAAATTGTATAAATTTTATCCATTTATCCCAAACGGCAAGAAACTTCTCTTGCGTTTGTTGCTTTAAGAAAACCGAAATCTTTGCCATTTCCGCCAGATAAGCTACTTTAAGAAACCATTCCTAAGTTCGTTTCCATTTTTAAAAAAAATCTGGCTAAGTTTTTCTCTGATTATATATTTTCTGGGCATGAGTGCAGAAAAGGTTACTTCATGTATTTCCTCCAGGAATTACTTTTGCATTGATGCAGACTTGTCTGCTTTTCCCTTTCTGAGCAAATGTGACAGACCAGGCGCTCAATCAGGGTGTTAGAAGAAGCCGTTCAGGCTTCTGGATGGAAGTCTGTTGTGCACAAAACCCAAATTTGCACAATACCCATCATCTTCAGGTGGGTTTGGATCAGTATTCTTGGCCTGCAAGTGCCTGACTACGTGATGGAGACATGATGCTGAAGACATGATGCAAGGGATTCTGTCAAACCCAAGGGAGCCAATGAAATAAGAGAACATTTTGAACACAGACGAGGCAATATCCAGCTATTGCAAGAAAATTAGATGACTTTCAGTTGACAGATCAATCACAGCCCAATTTAAAGGCCACCTTGGTTAAGGCTTCTCAGAATTGCAATTGAACACAATGTGAGATTAAGCAAATCTTTTCTAAAAGATGTTGCTGCTATTTTATCAGTATGATGGGAACCGAGCCATTTTTTCCCTGCAGATTCCAGAACTAGATGTATAGGATTACTATACTTGTACTTACAAGATTTTTGTGATGCTGTTTCCTTCTGACTGAGGTGCTTCCCTGCATCACAATATTATCAGACATTTTAAGGAATACACTAGTAAAAGTGCTTTCAGGGGCTCAGAGGGAATTTACAAGATAAGCTTTCTAATCTGTTAAGATGTGATTTCAGAGTCCAGAATTTAAACAAGCGTAACCGATTAATTTGTTATGATGAGATTGCAGTTTGGGCTCAGTGACTAAATCTGACCTGAAATTATGTGGCTGTTGTAGACCTTTAACACTGCTGAGCACAAACATTGAAAAAAAGAGGCTTGCGCACGTGTGAATGTTGAAAATCAGTTTCAAAGGCTGACATGATGCAACATTTGGTATATCACAGGTCTTTGAAACTGAATCCTCAAACAACAAACACATGCCCACGTGCATAGAAATAACTCTTTAACATTGTTAGCCTGTTCCACCTTTGTGAAAGTTTGCTTTGGTAGAAACTGTCTTTGCAGCGTTGGCACTGTTTCTTGCCTCGGTGGTTAACGCCTCTGCTTCTGAATTCAGAACTTAAACTCTGTTTTCACATCACTGGAGGCCATTTCTTGTGGCTGAAATATTAAGAAATTCCATGACACAGCTTATCACCTATTTGGACATTTAAATGATACATTTAATTTACGAGTGACTGATATTTTCAATACGGTATCTGGCTTTCAGGTTTCACAGGCATCTTCACAGGTTTTGTGGCTGGATTTTCTCCACTTGTAGTCTTGTTTTAATGGCAGAGGGGATTCTCAGAAAGTGTGTGTCCTTATGTGCAGGGTGAGCATTCTAGTGCCTCTTTCCCCCCCCCCCTTACAAATTGGACAGGTAAGAGTAGAAACTCATGCTTGCCTTGTCTTTGGCAGTCTAGGAATAGAGAACTTTATGACGGAGCTGAGATAAGTTAAGCTGAGCTGCTTGTGGGCACATTCAGCTTCCCCAGCATTTACAGGTACTTTGATGGACTGCCTGGGACAGGTTTGCAACCTGAGGGCACTGCTGTATTTCTTTCTTTCTTTTTTTTTTCTTTCTCTCTCCCCTGCCCCCTCCCTTTTTTTTGGCCTCTTTTGACTATAGGCAGGAAACCCCACCTGAAAAGGAGGAGGCTGCCATGAGATCTGGCAGGATGGGGGCAGCTTGCGCCCTTCAGCAGCAGCGTCTCTGGGGAGGGAGCAGTGCACTCACAATTCTGCCTTGTGCCCTTTGAAAGGAAGAGCAGCCCTGATTGTGAAAAGACCAGGATGGAGCCCTTTCTCACTGAAAATGCTCAGTGAATGCCTCTCTGGCCATCTCAACAATGACTTTTTTTCTGCAACAGCCTTTTAGCAGCTCTTGATAAAATTTCCCAAGGTGTTTGCTTTGTTTAATCCAGGGGTAGGCAACCTTGGCTCTTTTATGACTCGTGGACTTCAACTCTCAGAACTCCTGAGCCAGCCATGCTGAGGGGAAAGGGAGAGGTTTCCAAGCTGAGCCATGCTGGCTCAGGAATTCTGGGAGTTGAAGTCCACGAGTCATAAAAGAGCCAAGGTTGCTTACCCCTGGTGTAAACCAGCGCAAATCCGAATGTGGTCTTGGCCTGTATATAGAGCAAGGAGAAATGGTAGAATAGGGATCTGCCACTTCAGGTGGGCCAGAAGTGGGGGCTAGTGCAGCTCTCTTTCAAATTAGGTAGTTTTCCCTTGAAAAACATCCAATAGTGAGTCAGCTTTGAGCAAAGGGCAGAGCCTAGTGTAATAGGTTACTGCTTACCTGGAATTACTCAGGCCTCCCTCCTTCCCACCTGCAGAAAATGCTCAGCGCATTTTCTCCACCTCCTCTGGATCTTCCCCCTGTTCTTTGTGTAGACTGGACATGTTCTGTGCTTTCTCAGGTGAACCCAAATGTTGATGGAAGTTCCCCAAAAGTACCATATATGCCGGGGTATAAGACGACTTCCAGAAGCGCTAAACTCGGCGCCAAAGACGGGGGTTGTCTTATACGCCAAGTCGTCTTATACGCCGGAAATACTGGTAGTTTCCAGCATATAAGACGGCGTTCTAGGAATGCGGCTCGGCGATAAAGACGGGGGTCGTCTTATACGCCGGGTCGCCTAATATGCCAGCATATACGGTACATGGGAGGGTTGAGAAAATAGCTTTTTCTTTTCTTTTGAGATGGAGTGGAGAAAACAGAAGAGTCATTTTAACTGAGGTTTGCCTCCTGAGCTTCTTTATTTTAAGACTTCTGGGAAACTGGGAGGGGGGGTGGTTATACCCAGAGTAGCTTGTCTGCTTGCCCAAGAGTTTGAGGTGAGGTGCGAATTGCTATCCCTCTTTGAATACCAGAGCTTCTTGGCAAGGCTTCTGAAGCGCCATTCTGGTTTGCAGTGAGATGGCTGCTTTTGGAGAAACAGACATCCGATGCCACCGTATGCATATCTACAAGTTTCGTGGCTTTTCTTAGATCATGAACTTTGCACATATTGAAAGACAGTTGGTGGACTTGGGTAGAAGGTTCACCTCCAAGAAGTGGGCCATTGGGACAGTGCCTCGTTGCAGTCCTAGAGAGCCACTACCCACCAAAATGCTAGGTGGGGGCTACCCCAGTGGCCTCACTCAATCGAAGGCAGCTTCACTGGAGTAGAAAAGGGAAGTTGAACGAATCTCTGCTGTGGCAGCTGCCGCAAAGCCACTCTGCACGTGCCTCTCGCTTTGAGCCAGAGGTTTGAACTGCCATGGAAGGTGCTCTAAGCAACTCTGTCGAATTAGCAGGCTCAGCCGAAGGCTCTGTGCCTTCCTCCTCTACTCTCAAATAGATGGGAAAAAGGCCCACCTCATCGCCCCCGTGGGTCTTTCCTCAGGGCTACGGCAGGGGGGGGGAAGCTGCTGGTGCTTATTTGAATTTTTTTTCCCTGCATTGAAAACTGCTGTTTATCGTCATTTTGTTGAAGTGAGCCCTCTGTGTGGTTTGTGTTCACCACTTAGGCAACTGCTGAAAATCTTGTGGTTTTCAGCTGAGGGACCTGTTTTACTACTTGGGGGGAAGGAGGAAGAGAAAATACATTAGGCAGTGATAACAACAGAGTACTTAAAATATCAGCAGCAATGTGCTTATTTTCCAACCCTTGACAAGAGCCCATTTGCGGTATTGATCATACTAAGAAAATTATTCTAGCTTTCTTTGAACTGCATCTGTTGTTTGTTTTTTTCTTTTTGTAAGACCTAGCCTTCCTCAGTCTTACATCCCGTCACCGCTCCCAGGATTCCTAAGCAGACCCTGAAAGATGCCAGATGGTATAAGATTTGTCCCAGCCCCCAAAAAAGAAAAAAAAAAGTCTATCCGTTGGACTGAAACTTTTAGATGCTCTTGGGGCTTTCTGTACGATGACTTTGGTTTTGAGTAGCACAGATATATATTCGGGAGGGGAGTTATTAAAAGCAAAAGCCCATTTAAATCTGGGCCCAGTCTGGCTTTGCAAAAACCTTTCCCCCCCCCTCAATTTTAGCCACTCATGAACTCACTGGAGGGCAAAGTGGTGGACGTTTTACCTTCCTGGGTAAGAGTTAGATATTTTTTCTATGGTAAGTAACCTTTCCCTTTCTTCCTTTTTGTTCTTTCCTTCCTTCTCCTTTTCTCTCTCTCTCTCTCTCTCTCTCAACCTTTTCCAGGTAAAAGTCCTCCTGTAAGCCAAGTCGGGTCTTCCGATTTTGCCAAGCCCCCCGATCCATTTCAGCCATTCGGGGCTGACAGCAGTGACCCCTTTCAGAGTAAAAAGGGGTTTGGGGACCTATTTAGTGGAAGAGTCCTGTTTGCTCCTTCCTCTTCAAGTAAACCTTCTAAAGACTCTTCCCGGGGGTTTGCTGACTTCAGTTCTGTAAGTTAAGTTCCTTCTCTCTGCATCCACAGCTGCTTTTTCTAAGCTGCTAGTAGCAGTTGCCTCTGGGCTCTCATTTCTGTTTCAATTGCCCCTCTTCTCCTTTTCCTTTTCACAGCTTTTTGTCTCTTAATCCTTCATGCTGCCTCTCTCACACCTGATGTAGTTCTATATTTACTTCTGTATTCCAGCACCTTGACATATCAATAAAGAGAGTTTGAGTTTGATGCTGCTAATTAGAGAGGTTTGTTTGCTTGCTTGTCTAGTGGAATGTTGCTTTTTCTTCCAAATTTCCAGAGTTCTTTGGAGGCCTTGAGAGGGGACTACATCCTGAAGCCTCCTTCAGGAACCTCTGGAATCCAGAAAAAAATGCTGCTTATTGTAATGTTTTCAGCATTTTACAACCAAACGCCTCATCTGTATTCCACAAATTAATATGAGGGCTAATAAGTGGTGCCCAGATTTTGTTTCAGCCAATAATTTGCAAGGACAAACCAGCCCTTTATTTTCACACATTTAGTAGACATGTATATTATAAAGCTGAAATAAATAGTAAGCGAGGCCATGTGGGAATGCAGGTAGTTTTTAAACAGCCTTCCCCTGCTTGTGTGCACCAAACAAGATTAAGCTAACTCCCAGGGTACCCAAGTATCATAGCCAATTGCTGGGACAGCTAAGAATTAAGAATATTATAATTGCTACTTATTTAAAAAGTGTCAACTTGGGGGCAACTATTTTGAAGGGAATAGAGAAGATTACTCTTCTGATTGACTTCCTTGTTCCGAGAAGGACAGCTGAGATAGAGTGATCTGTCTCAACAGTGCAATGTTTAGGAATGAGAGTAATAGATACCATTGTTCTAGGATTAAATGTACAAAATATGTAGAAGCATGAAAGTGGGAACTTAACATATTGAACTCAGCAGTTAGGCACTGAGGATAGATAGGGAAAGGTAGCCTTACTGCATTGTTAGGTACCATCCAGGCAGGGGCATCCATGGGAGAGATTGAAAGTCAGGATGGTGGTTGCAGTTACACAGTCAAAGCTCTGTACTAGTGTCACAAACTTGGCAATGTTAAGATGTGTAAACTTCAACTCCCAGAACTCTGGGAGTTGTAGTCCATGTGTCTTAAAAGTTGCCAAATTAGATATATTTTTTTTACCCTGGAGAAATAGAAACTATTTGGAGCTAATGGCAATCCAATGTTCAGAAAGTTCTCAGAAGCAGTAAGTGAATGCTTCATCTCTTCATAAATATATGATAAATAATTGCCCTGTGTTGGAATTGGGGGAGTATTGTATCCATGGAAAGATCCATGATCCATAAAATGGATGAACAAGGAGCATGCTACAGAAAAGATTACACAAGCATACATCCAGGCTAGTTTAGGCTAACAAGTAAAGATATTTCCATGGTGCAGCAAAACATTAGGGAGAAGCAGGGGGGTGTCTGTTTGACATCCGGTAACTTAAAGGTCTGGTTTCTAGTACTAGATTTTAGATGAATGCTGGTATGATTAAAGTTCAACTGATAAACAGGAAAACCTAAATAACACAATCTGGTTTTATTTTGTCTTTTCAAAGACACTTTCAATCTCTTGTTTTCCTTCTTGGGCATTCATTTTCTCAGCAGAAATTGAGCTACATAATCCACCTGTGAGAATTGCTCCCCCCCTTTTTTTTAAACACAAATCCTGTTTTGTTTCTGGTTATATAATCTTTCTATGAGTCTGTGGTGTTGAACCTGCCATTTGATTTGCCATCTTCAGTATGGTAACTCATACAAACCTCCGATCCTTGAATAGGAGGATGATGAGACAGAGTCATCCCCTTCCCCCAAAGCCCTCCCCACTTCTCAGAAAGAGTTGTGTAATTCCTTCAGTGGAAACAATCAGTTCTTTCGCTCTCTTCACTGCATGTGCTTGCATGCCTGCAGCCTAGCCACTGCAGAGAACAAGGAAGATGTTCACCAAGGGTCTGGAACAGGGGTCTTCAAACTTGGCCCTTTTATGACTTGTGGACTTCAACTCCTAGAATTCCTCAGCCAGCCATGCTGGGACACCATGCTGGCTGAGGAATTCTGGGAGTTGAAGTCCACAAGTCATAAAAGGGCCAAGTTTGAAGACCCCTGGTCTGGAATATATTACTCTGTTTAACCTAAAGCTTTATAGAGTTCCTCCGTCCAGCTGGATGTGTGTACATGAATAGGGCAATAGGGAGTATGTTTGTGCATTTAAACCTCTTACTAAAAATCTGACTATCCGTACTACGATCTTGGCCAGCCATGTAATTTTTTTTAACAATCCATTCCTACTTACATTGTAACACTGAATTTCACTTATAGCTTGTATGTGCAGTTTGGTGCATAACATAGCATGCATCTGTAGTAGCTTCTGGTTTTTCTTTTACTGTTACTTTGAAATACAAGCACGGAGAAAGCATAGAGGATGTTGTCTTTGTGGGCTGAGCTTTGCATTCCCTCTGGCTTGCTGTTTGGTTTGAGTTCTCACCTCTTCCTCCTAAGGTCCATGAACCACAGCTTCAGAAGGGTGACCCCGGAAGAGGGTTAGGCTAGCTTCTGTTGTGCCTTGTGTTATCCATGATCTGCAGAATGCAACATTAATCTTTGCAAGGGCTGTGTCTCCAGCAACTGGCTTGATTCCACATCTCCAAGCTGGGGAAAGCCCTCTGGGACTTGTTGACCTTTCCATTGCTTGCATTGCTTGCAATTTTAGTTGGGATGGGCTTCATTACATTCCTGATTCTCCCACACCCTCTGGAGCTGTCAACATGCTTCTCTTTTCAGGTGTCAGGCACATAACTGAGCCTTGCTAGAGAGAGGAAATAGAGGAATTTTTTTTGCAGCTGCATAACAGATAGAAAACATGTTTTCTCTGGTGTAGTCAAGTAATAGGATACCCCCTTTGATTAGGAGGTTGGGCCATTTCCCCTACTAGGAAAAACTAACTTATGTGTAGAAAATTGACAAACAGTGAATCCTTCATTATGAAATGCGTAATGGATCTATAGAAGAGATGAGATAGATAGGCATTGGGCTTAGGTAGATTTATATGGGGATCAGACATATTCTTGAAGAATGTGACTACCATACAGTATATGAAATATAAGAAAAATCTTGTTCAATCAGATTTCAGGCTTTTAATCCAGCAATTGTAGTGAGAAGTGCACAAGCATATCCTGAGGACAATTGAGGTGAGGCACTATTTGATATGGGATTCATTACCAGTATTCAGAGATAGCCTTTGGTGCTATAAATCATCTTTAATAAATCTTTTCATCCTGGTGGTTACAGTTGTGGGGCTCAAAAAGACCAGGTCCATGTGTTAAAGTTCAACTAAGCTAATTTATTGCTAATGGCCTACTAACAGGAATCCATCTCATAACAGCATCTGGTTAGAATTAGATAAGGGTCAGTGGCACTTAAAGGGGATTGGACTTAGATCGCTTATGGCTATGCAGGGATGCTAGGCTGATTTCTCTTTTCACTCCACCCCAGGTTCTGCCATTCCTTCTCCTATACTACTGTACTTTCTGATAATGAGTTCTGTAATTTGCACTGCAGGATCAAGTAGCTATTTTTGACCTCCTGTTATACAGCTTTATTGAATGAGCCCAGATTTTAATTCTGAGAAAGAGTGAAGGCAACTTCATTCCTTTTCCAGCTCCTTGAAATTTTGAAGAACATTTTTCCAAATCTACTATATTCCCTTGACGGTACAGTAAGCAGAACTATGCAGAGAATTCTGTGTATTATTGAACCATATAAAATGTAGCATACCAGGTTAACGTTTTCATTGAGCTTTCTGTGGTGGCCACAGATCTCTTTATGTGACAGGCAAAATGCCCATTTTCTTTTGTTTGAAGACATTTTTTTGAATCCTCTCACTATTCCTTTTTATTTATTTAACCACTTTAAATATTTTAGTATCACCATAGAATTATAGAATTGGGAGAAGCAGTGTAGCAATAGCACTTAGACTTATATACTGCTTCATAATACTTACTGCCCTCTCTAAGCAGTTTACAGAGTCAGCACATTGCCCCCAGCAATCTGGGTCCTCATTTTACTGACCTTGGAAGGATGGAAGGCTGAACCAACCTTGAGACAGTCAGGTTGAACTCCTGGCTGTGGGCAAAGTTAGTTTGCAATACTGCATTCTAACCACTGTGCCATTACGTCTCCTGCGCCACCGCAGCTCCTGAATGGTGCAGATAAGGAAATTAAAGCTGCATAACAGCTGTCCAGCCTCTGTTGAAATACTTCCGAGGAAGGAAATCTCCTCTTCTGAGTAACTGATTCCACTGTTAAAGTCAGTGCACCATTAGGAAATGTAGATTTGTGGTGTTTTATTTTAAACATTTAGCTAGAAACTCCTCCCTATCATCTTCTTAGTGTTATTCCTACAGCTGCAGGGTCTGCTTTTTGGATCAACAAATGCCATTTGCACACTCAAACATAGCATCCAGGTTATGTCTGTATTTTAACAGATATGTGATTGAAGGTTACAACAAAAAAACGATCAAGCTGCTTGTCACCTACCTACCCACCAGAGCGAGCAATTTGGTCTGTGTTCAATTCAGTACCGCCCTGGTGGGTGGACAGTATCCAGTATCCATTAGGAGGAACAGACCTCACCACCTGAAAACTCTTTCCCATATCCTCATTATTCCAGGTTCTGCTCCCTGGGATATTAGAAAACAGGTTATGGCTATCTTTCAGATACAGTTAAAGTATTGTTATATCGTCTCTTAGTATTTGCTTCCCAGGGCTAAACACATTCAACGTCTAATATCTTTAATATGGCTTAATTTCCGGTCCCTGCATATTGTCCTTACTCCCTTGCTCTGAATTTGAAGTAATTCAGAGCAATTGGCTATGATCTGAATCTTTTTATTCCCAAATGTGATGCTCAGAATTAGAAGTATTCAAGGAGGTGGTCTGTTCTATATAGAATAAAATAGAATAGTTATTATTCCAATACCTTTTTCCACATATATTTTTGCCAAAGTAGTACTCCCCATTCTATGCCTCTGCATATAAATTTCATTACCTAAGTACATGATTTTGCATTTCTGTTGGATTAATTGCATTCCGTTTTAATTCAGTTTTTCTAATGCACCAAGGTAGATTTGAATTTTATTTCTCCTGTATACAGCGTATAGTTCATCCATCTGTAAATTTGAATTAGGATACCCTACACTTCTTCATCCAAATGATTAAATTGTCGGGTCTAGAGCTGCACCTCGTGACACCTTGCCTGATTCTCCCCTCTAATTTGAGGAGAATCACCTTTTGTGAATAGTTTTTGAGCCAGTAGTGTATCCACTTAATAATCATGTCATCTGGCCTTCACCTAATAAATTATTTAGAACAATTAACAAACAGGATTTCTCAAAGGTGATACATACAAATCTTTCTCAAAGATTTGGACAGACCCTCAGTTTGTTCAGATGCAGTTCATTTTATCCTAGAGATTTTAAACTTATTCCACGTAAATGAGTATTCTGATTATTTTTCTAGCTGTCTCATCCCATTCTGGTGGCATACATTTCCTCTTATTGGAGAAAACCAAGGCAAAATAAGAGTTGAGTTGTTCTTTTTTTTTTCTTTGTTATCTTTTACCATTTTTCATGTCATCAGCAAACATGAACCATCTAATTGCAGGATCTTTTTGTCTGGATCATTTTGAACAACTTAAAAAGTAGTAGTTCCAGAACTGAGGCTTGGTAGTTCTCTCTTCTTTACATCACTCTCTTGCAAGACCTGTCTTATTTATTTTGTTCTCCTAACTTGAATATTCCTTCATAAGAGAAGTTTTCCTCGTCTTAAAATGTTACTTTTTCACAAGATTTTTGGTAAGCCCTTTCATGAAAAAAATTTTTTTTAAGTAAATGATATTCATTTGCTTTATTTATATTCAGTATCTCTGTACAGTACATTCAGAACAGTCATTTTATAAACAGATCTGCTTGAGAGCTATAAAGAACTTGAGAATGTGAAGACAGCCCTGCAAAACTAGGCCGAAGACCTGTCCTTATTCAAGACTAACAGCTAGTAGAAATAGTAGACTGCTTAGTAATGGATTCCTGGGCAGAAGTTAGACTAGATCAGGGGTGTCCAACCTTGGCAACTTTAACACCTATGGACTTCAACTCCCAGAATTCCTCAGCCGGCCATGAGGAGTTGAAGCCTTAAAGTTGCCAAATTTGGACACCTATGGAGTAAGTCAGGGGTAGGCAACCTTGGCTCTTTTATGACTCGTGGACTTCAACTCCCAAAATTCCTCAGCCAGCCATGAGGAGTTGAAGCCTTAAAGTTGCCAAATTTGGACACCTATGGACTAGGTCAGGGATAGGCAACCTTGGCTCTTTTATGACTCGTGGACTTCAACTCCCAGAATTCCTGAGCCAGCCATGCTGAGGGGAAAGCGAGAGGTTTCCAAGCTGAGCCATGCTGGCTCAGGAATTCTGGGAATTGAAGTCCACGAGTCATAAAAGAGCCAAGGTTTCCTACCCCTGAAATAGGTGATCTCCAGAGTTCCTTCCATTTTGGATAGAGTTGGCTCTGTTGAATTTCCTTTTCAACTACATTCTTATCAAACCATTCTTTTTTAAAAAAAATAATAATCCTCCTTTGCAGTTTTATATAACTGTTGAACTTATTTTGGTTTATTCTACTAATTCATGCTTTGAATAGCAATAACAATAGCACTTAGACTTATATACCGCTTCATAGTGCTTTACAACGGTTTACAGACTCGGCATATTGCACCCAACAATCTGGGTTCTTATTTTACCAACCTCAGAAGGATGGAAACCCGAGTCAACCTTGAGCAGGGTCAAGATCAAACTTCTGGCAGTGGGAATGTAGAGTTAGCCTGCAATACTGCCTTCTAACCACTGTGCCACCATGGCTCTAAACTTATATTTACACAGTTGCTTCTTTCCATTTGTTTCAAGAATATATATAGCCAGTGGTGGAATTCGGCCAGTTTGCACCAGTTCGGTAGAACTGGTAGCTAATTTTTTGTTGCCCAGGCCCAGAATGGACATCCAGAAGCAGCATCTACACAGAGAACTGGTTGTTCACATATTTGAATCCCACCACTGTATATAGCACTAGGTGTTGGCTACCGCTTAGGATTAAACACAAAGTAGCATCCCTTCTATTCAGTTTCCCGACTTGGTGCTTAATCTTTTAGAGTTGTTTCAAAACATTATTTTGACAAAAATGTTTGGAAAGTCATATTAGGTTGCTGCAATAATTCAGTCTGAGGATCATTGATTTTAGTTTTCCTCATACTAAATTGCTGGAACCATTTCTCCTTTAGATCCCTTCCCGGGCACACAGCTGCTGAAACAAAGTAGCAACAATGGTGCATTGGAAGATCTGCAAAAAATATCATTTGCCTGTAAGCAAAAACTGGTGGGATCATAAAATAGAGAAAGTCATAGAAAATGATGATGATGATGATGATGATGATGATGATGATGATGATGATGATGATAATAATAATAATAATAATAATAATAATAATAATAATAAAGTTGGAAGGGACCTTGGAGGTCATCTAGTCCAACCCCTGCTCAGGCAGGAAACCCTACACCATTTCGGACAAATGGCTGTCCAGTCTCTTCTTAAAAACTTCCAGTGTTGGAGCATTTACTGCTTCTGGAGGCAGGTTGTTCCACTGATTAATTGTTCTCACTGTCAGGAAGTTTCTCCGTAGTTCTAGGTTGCTTCTCTCCTTGATTAGTTTCCACCCATTGCTTCTTGTCCTACCTTCAGGTGCTTTGGAAAATAGCTTGATTCCCTCTTCTTTATGGCAGCCCCTGAGATATTGGAATACTGCATCCAGTTTTGGTCACCGCGATGTAAAAAAGATGTTGAAACTCTAGAAAGAGTACAGAGAACAAAGATAATTAGGGGGACTGGAGGCTAAAACATATAAAGAAAAGCTGCTGGGATTGGGTATGTCTAGTTTAATGAAGAGAAGGACGAGGGGGGACATGATAGCAGTGTTCCAATATCTCAGGGGCTGCCACAAAGAAGAGGGAGTCAAGCTATTCTCCAAAGCACCTGAAGGCAGGACAAGAAGCAACGGATGGAAATTAATCAAGGAGAGAAGCGACCTAGAACTAAGGAGAAACTTCCTGACAATTAGAACAATTTAACCAGTGGAACAACCTGCCTCTAGAAGCGGTGAATGCTCCAGCGCTGGAAGTTTTTTAGAAGAATTGGACAGCCATTTGTCCGAAATGGTATAGGGTTTCCTGCCTGAGCAGGGGGTTGGACTCGATGACCTCCAAAGTCCCTTCCAACTTTTTTTTTTATTATTGATCATCGCACAGTCAGCCAGATGTTCAGACTGGATTTGGTATTTTGTCTACCTATCGAGTCCTTATCCAGGACCTGGGATAGGCAGATGTGGATGTTTGATGCTATTACAGATATCGTCGCAGGATGGAAGCAGTTCCTAGTAAGGCCACTTTTGCAATTGACTAATGGCAAATTTGTCAATGCCAATGGTGTCAAGTGGTGGTGGTGGTGATGATGATGATGATGATGATGATTGAAAAGCATCAGGATTTGATTTTGAGGGCTTCTACATGCCAAATAGATGATCTCTCTGGAGGGCAGACTTAAACCCAAGCCCAGGGGAGCCTTTTAAATTTCAACTTTGTGTCAAGTGTTCTTTTTAGAATTACGTTGCATGCGTTTTCCCTTTCTTCTTCCATCAATACCAGCTTGTAATGGAAAAAAAGAAGACAGCAACAGTGTTCATAGTTGTAGCCCTTATCTGGCATCCTACGATTCTGGATCTGAAAGAGACCCTTTGACAATCTTCCCATATAGCAGAGATGGACAACTTTCAGGGTCTCCAAGTGTAGCTCTTAGCTTCTCTGGTTATGATTGCTGAGAATCCACTAACTTCCTGGCATTTTGCAATAGGAATCACATGGAAACTGTAACAAAAGCCACATGTATTTATTATGTATTTATTTATTAGATTTTTATCCCACCTTTTACTGCTTTATAAGTAACTCAAGGCTGTGAATATACACACTACTCCTTCCTCCTCCTATTTTCCCCACAACAGCAACACTGTGAGATAGGCAGAGAGAGGGTGACTGGCCCCAGGTCACCTGGCCAGCTTGCTAGTCATGCCTAAGGCAAGATTAGAACTCTCAATCTCCCGGTGATAGGCCCAAAGACACCCAGCTGGCTTTCATGGCTAAGGTATGACTAGAACTCACAATCTTCTGTTTCTAGCTCAGCACCTTAACCAATACACCGAGCCGGTTCTCATAGCTAAAGCACCTAGCCATCCAAACCGTTAGCCATCCTGCCCCAAATGTTAAAAGCAATCTTTAGCCAAAGGTTGCTGACCCCAGATACACTGGCACTTGTTAGGGTCCTCTGCTACACGATGCAAACACTGGGTCTTGCCATTTTTTAATTGTTAAGTCTAATGTAATTCAACGTTATTTTAAGTGAAATAGAATTGGCAAGATTAAACTGAAAGCAGGTCCTGGGAAAGTGGGAAAATTGTTAATGGATGCTTTGAAGAAGCAATGGGTGGAAAGTTTGGAGTAAAATTAGCCAAGAGAAAAGTTTCCTGACCCTTCTTGACCTCCTCCCATCCCTAGTTCCCACTGATAACAAGCATTCCCGAAGTCAGGTGTGGAGGGTTGTGGGAGGTGAGCATCACATCTGTCCCCAAATGCTGCTGCTGCTGCTACTACCCTGGGCTTTTTCTTCTCTCTTACCTTGTTAACCGAGTCTCATTTTGTTACTTTTTTTAGCTTGGCAATGAGGAGCAGCAGTTGGCGTGGGCCAAACGGGAGAGTGAGAAGGCAGAGCAGGAAAGGCTGGCGCGATTGCGAAGACAAGAGCAGGAAGACCTGGAGTTGGCCATTGCACTCAGTAAGGCCGACATGCCGACTTCTTAAAAGCAAGGGTGGCCATCAAGCAGACCTATTTCCTGGTACCTGTTCTAGATTCCTGATGTCCTCGGGCCATTCCCCCCCCCCCCCCGATTATTTCATGACTTCCAGCTGCCTGTGGGGCTGATTGTTGAGCAAACTGCAATTGATGGGCTTGGCTTCACAGCAGTCTCTCATTCGTTTTGTTTTTAAATTAAGTTAGACTTTCTAGGCTGAAAAAAACGTTGCTTGTATGAGAACTTGCAGCAGCCCCATCCCACTGACTGCCAGATTTTGCTGCGCTGCGGAAAAACAGTAGCACTAATGGGACTGCCTCTCGGGACTTCATTTTTTTGTGGAGTGGCAGGAGAGTCATGGAAGCTGCCACTCAACCTCTGGGTTCAAGGAGAAGTATGATCTTCATAAAGAGATTGATTGTTTTTATTCTGTAGTTAAGTCTCTTTTGATTTTCTTCTGTTGGTCAGTGGCCTGAAATACAACTCGTCACCAGAGTTCCTTTCTTGTGCATTTTGTGCTTTATCTTAAGAAAATAACTCCCTCTCCCTAGATATTTATAAATTAGAGGGTAGACGCTCATCAGACCATAGGTTGGAAGCTCAGATCATAGGATGTTTCTCCCATGAAAAAGCCTTCCCCATTTATAGAAAGCCAGCTTCTCAGAGGAAAAAAAAAGATTCCAGCTCTCCTGAGATGCTAGTAAGAGGAAAAGGCCAAAATTAAGCGACTCCTTATGCCTGTTGCGTAGAGTCCGTTACCTTCTGAGCCTGGATCTCTTTACAACTAAAAGTGCGCTCTGTTGAACAAGAAGTTTCGCTTCTAACCATAAACGCTTTGTTGTACAGACGAGAGCATCTTTTAACCAACACCAAATCATACTGAAACCAAGGGAAACTGTTGCGGCTAAGGGCAGGGCCGTTGTGTGTACGCTACCTGGAAAACAGATATAATAATAATTCAGTATCTTTGGAACTGTAGCTGCCCTTGTGTGTGTTTGCCTGTCTTTCTGAAATGTGTTTTGTTGATGGGAGAGATGGGGGGAAGGAGGGGGCGTGGGTTCAGTTAATAGGAAGAGAGGCCAAAGCAACAATTGGTGTTCAACTGATTGTGCACAAATGACTGCTTTCTTTTGCAAATGGGACGCTTTCTCTTAACTTCACTCTTTCCCTTTTAGCTATTGGCCATCCATGATTTAGGGAAGAGCCAGATGGGGCTTTATTCTGTGAGATGACTTCAGCTAATTTTCAGGGTTACATATGCATGTGCACGTATGTATTTGGGCTTTGAGATTCCATACAATGGAATGGACAAGGGAATTGAAATATTGGGGTTATGCTGAAAAGTTGGATTTATGGCTACTGTATATAATCCCCTATCTTGTTTTTACAAAGTAGTTAGTTCTCAGTCGATCATCTTATTCATCTCCTCATAGCCTTATTCAAAAAATATTCCTGACTTTATAAAAAATAATTCCATTATTTATCTCGAGGATAGGTCACCTTCACAACACTGGATTTTCCACTGTTAACCACACTCTGATTGCTTGGTCTTCCATTCTTGATTTCTTATGCCATACCTTCTGGATTATGGAGTGGGAAGGTGATGTTTCCTGGTTGTGTACTTGTGAGAGAACTGTCTTTATAATTTTGGTGAGGACAGCATCTTCTCAAACCTGACAGGTACAGCACACTCCCACAGCCCGTGTTGAGATGATCCTGTGGCTATCATTCCTATGGGACATTCTGAAAAGACTTTCATTTTCCCCCTGAACGAATATGTGGTATCCAAGCTCATTTTCTCTCTTCTGTTACGAGATTTAAAGAGTAGAGAGGACCCATTGATGTGCCTTCATTTCCTTGACTCCCTTTATCTCACTGTGCATTCCTCTTTCTTGAATATATGGAGAGTTAAGTCTCTTCTTCCAAGATGCCCCCCTGTCCTCCCCCCCCCAAAAAAATCCTCCTGAAGCCACATCTCCATAGCATTCTAGACACAAAGTCTCTTCCAGCTTTCCATTTTTCAGCTCTCTGTGCCTGAATAGTATTAGGTACTTTCTGACCCAGCTTAGTATCCTGCTTGGATTTATGCTGCAATTTCCTTTTGGGAACATTTTCTCTTTACTTCCATTCTTCATCTCCCGGTTTTCTCACCCTTGACCTTAGTGGCAGGATTAGGCTTCTCCTTGTTATTCTGCTTATTCTGCTACCTGTCCTGCTTCCGAGTTCCTGTAATCTGGGAAGTTCCAAAACCAAACTATAATGGATTGGAGAGCTAAAGAAATAAAGGTCCCAGAAAGACCCTGCTTGAAAATTGATTGGCAGTCCTGAATGACAGCCTTGGAACAAATGAGTTTGGGCCCCAGCTATAGCAAGATTTTAGCTTTTTTGTTTAATTCGTTAATAGTGTTGACACTTCATTTAAATAATCAAAATGTATATAGAATTTTAACACTTTAAGTCATGTTTGCTCCCAATTTTACTGTAGAGATCTGTTCAGGAAAGCTCTTAAAAATGACAAATCTTGGTCACGTTCAATGGTATTTATTCAACCTGACCATATCTCTAGACCCAAATACAGATTCTCTGGTGCTCAGGCAAACCGTTTTAGGTATTGAAGGGTGCCATGTATCTAACTGCAGTGGCTTGGAGCCCTTTTTTTATGTACTAAGAAGCAAATAAGGTTTGTGTATGCTTGCAGATTTTTTTTTTAAAAAACCCTACATTATGTTGTATATAGTTTGCTTTGATACATTTACTGTCTTTTAGCTAGTCTGTTATTACTCCATGTTACTTGGCATTGGACATATTTATATATACACACACAAACAGTCTGGCAAATTTCCCGTAGTTCTTATTATCACCTACCTGTTATGGAATATAATTATATATTGTACATAAATAATGTATAGTTTGTGTGTGCATTATGTATATTTAGTATATAGATCTGGAAATAAAAAATAATAGCTGTAGTTATAATTTCAATGTTCTAGTACAAATGACATGTAATGTGTCACACAAATTCAGCCAGATGCTTCTCAAAAGGGTCTAGTTCAGGGGTAGGCAACCTTGCCTCTTTTATGACTTTTGGACTTCAATACCCAGAATTCCTGAACCAGCCATGCTGGCTCAGGAATTCTGGAAGTTGAAGTCCACAAGTCACAAAAGAGCCAAGGTTGCCTACCCCTGGTCTAGGATAACTCACTGTGGCCAACACACTGTTGGACAAGAGATACACCAATATTGAAGAAATGGTGGAACAGAATCATTAAAGAAAGGATGCAAAAGGAGAGGCAAAATAAAATGTGAATGACAAAAATTAAAATATTTTTAAAATTATTTTAAATAGTTAAATTGAATTGTTGAATTGTCCCATGGCAAGTTGGCCACGGCAAGTTGGCTGTGGCAAGTTAACTGGCGAGTTGTCCCATTCCATTCTCAAAAACTGTTCAAGAGTAAGATCTCTGTCTAATTTCGTGCGTACAGCATGCCAAGTCTAGAACTGCATCTAAAAGGGTTAAACATCTAAAAAGGTTAAATCATGGCAACTGAACCAAAGTTTATTGGTCCAAAGTCGTTACTCATCCAAGTAACTTCTTGGATGAACATAAATTTCCTTTTGGCCACTGCTGCAATATTATTCTTTACTTTTCCTTGATTTGTACATGCAGCGATTTTTCATTTCAGTTTTTGTAAGCAAACTGCTGCCCTTGGTGCTTGAGTGAGGGGAAGGGACTCACACCCAAAGATTGGAGAAGAAATTAAAGGAATTCAAAAGTAAGGATAAATAACTTCTCTTAGGAGTGCCTGGTGGCCATTGACCTCCTAAATCTGGAGGAACACTTAATATCAATATAAATTATAGTTGCAAAAAAGCACTTTTCACTGGCAACCTAGGCTACATCCCACATGCTGTTTTACATATACACATCATTTGGGGTTTAGTTACAAAACTCTAAATAGTTTTTAGGGCAGAGGAGCTGATAAAGCACTACAGTGTGGCTACTTTAATTGGATTGCAAGACAGAAATACACACACACACACACACACACATCACTTGGGCCTTGCATTCTTTATAGCAGGGCGAGCAAACTAGGAGCTGCATGTAAAACTCTGGCCTTTTTTGTATCTCTCCAAATTTCCCCCAGATTGTGCTGCTGAAATTTGATGAGAAAATAGCCAGATTTGGGAGTGAAGTTTTTCTTTTCTTTTTTTAATACTAAAAAGTATTTTGCAAATAAGCGTATTAAATAAACCCTTGGAAGATAAACTCCCAAAGTTCCTCAAAACCAGGCCAGAGTTTTTGAAGCCTGCCCTCCTAGTGACACTGCTATGTCACTGTAGATGCTTCTTGTGGACTTAGGTGAGGCAAATACAGCCTCCCACCTGCCCAACGTTCACTCACTTTTCCTTTTTATAGTAAATTCCTCATGATTCTTTGTGAACGTGGTATATTACTGTTGTCATCTGGTTCAGCTACCCCCTATTTTTCTTGGGACGCTGTTTGTACCTCGCAAGTAAGTTTAATTCTTTTGCTTTCTCTAAATGTTCTCGGTTGTTGCCCCTTTGCTTTCACTCAGCCAGCAGACTTTTTTTTTTAGTTGTACACGTAAGAATTTCTGGCTTGGGAACAAATGCACACACTCCCCTTTCCCACCTTTCACTCGGTGCTAGAAGCTCCCCCAGTCTCTGTTCTTGCTCAGTCCATTCTCTTTACTGGCACATATTATCTGTGCCAGAATGATTTGTTAATCCCACTGGGTCTGTAACACTTCTCATTCTTTAACTTGAAATGGGATTCTTTTCTACAGCTTTCCTACTGTACATCTCTATCAACGTTCATTTCTTCCAATAGAGGAGATGCAGTTTATCTTTGAATCAAGTGGATTTTTTTTAATGTCACTATGGATTCTTTTTAAGCAAGTCCTAAATGATAGAGATGCCTACCTTCTAACATTTTTAGCTTTTCTTTAGGAGGGAAGTAAGGGCTTTCTGCCACTAATGGCAGCAGGCAAAAGAAAAAAGTGGTTTCCTTTTGTCTTCTTTTGCGATTCTTCTTCTGCCTGTCTGCTGTCCAAGAATGCAAAAGGGTATATAGTTAAAAAAAAGACAACAGCTAAACTTCATTGTCAGCCCAGGTTCCAAAGCATCACAAAGGTTGTTATTGTGAATCAGTAGAGAATTTCAAACATATTTTGTCACATGATTTGGTGGGAGAGGAATTTATTGACGGAAGAAATACATTCAGGTGAGTTTGAAGTCTAACCCTGCTCTTAGGATCCATCTCCTGAATCTGGTAGAAAAGGGCAAGCTTACAGATGCTGACTAATGTATATCCAAATATGTACATTGCTGTACCTATATTTATTTTTGAAATTATCATATAGGAACACGGTGGAGTGGAAGGAAATGTAGGATTGTTGAAGTTTAACCCATGCTCTATGTTTGTTTAATTAAAAAGTGTTATTGTTTAATATAATAAATGAAGAAAGTTAATTATTTTGGAGCATTTGAGACTCTGGGGAGGCTTTCATTTTTTGGGGTCAGACCAGCTTTTATTTTGATTGATACGTTTTTACATGTCCTAAGTTCTTCTTGTCTACTGACAGATACTCCCTTCCTTCTATGCATTATTGTGCTAGGTCAGTGATGGTGAACCTTTTAGAGACCGAGGGAGACTCTCCTCCGGGGGGGGGGCTGCTGGTGAGGAGGGGGCTGCGTGGGGGGAGGCTGGGGCAATGGCACGCATGCCCACAGAGAGGGCTCCGAGTGCCGCCTCTGGCACATGTGCCATAGGTTCGCCACCACTGTGCTAGGTACAGTTCTCTATAGAATTCAGCCTGAAAATTTAGATAACCCTCCTCCATATAAAACAGCCAACAGTCTCTACCCTTAGAAGCAATCTTGACTTGGTAGTGAGAAGGTATCTTTGTTGTTCAGTTGGGAAACCTCAGAATATAGCTTAAATATGTTAGACAGGAGATCTCCAAAGGATTAAGGAAACAGGTGATGAGAAAAGCATCTTCTCTGAATGAAATTTTCCAAGATCACTGGGAAATTACCAATTACCTTTGAATATACCGTGTTTCCCTGAAAATAAGACCAAGTCTTAGATTTTTTTGGGGGGGGGGACCAAAAGACCCATTAGGGCTTATTTTCAGAGGATTTTCAGCCGCCTGCCCACTCCTTCCCACCGTCTGGTTGCTTGCGGCCGCAGCGGGGCAGGAGCGCGTGCATTGCACCCGTGCTGCTGCCACAACGTGAGGCAAGATAGGTGGAGGGGGTGGAGCTTATATTAGGCCCACCCCAAAAAATCAGGCTAGGGCTTATTTTCTGTGTGGATCTTATTTTGGGGAAAACACAGTAGGAGATGATAATCTCCAATTGGCCCAACATTCCAGTTTTGCATTTTAAACAGCTATTTCCAAAATGAGAAACACAACGAGATGCTTCTGCTGATATCAACATAATATGCCTTGCAGTGTTCGGAGAGTACAGCAGTACATATACTATACTATTCTTACATTAGAGTCCAGCGATGTCCAACCTTGGTAACTTTAAGATTTGTGGACTTCAAGCTGAAGAATTCCCCAGCCAGTCAACCCTAAAAAATAATCTTAAAACTCTGGCACTGTTGACATTGATGAGAAGGGTCACCACTTTGCATCATCATCTTGTTCCCCAAAATTTGCTCCAAAAGTTTGCCCAAGCCTACTTTGTCTAATGAACTCTTCAAAATGTTTTAAACCAGTGTCTTTCAACCTCAGCAATTTTAATATATGTGGACTGGAGAATCCTGAGAGTTGAAGTCCACAATCTTAAAAGATTGTTGAAATTGAAAAAGTCCACTTTAAATCATTGACATGGGGAGTCAGAGGAAATATTGCAAGTCAATTTTCAACTCCAGAGAATATGAATAGTCTCCATGAGATTTGAAACGTTTTAAAGTTCTGGTGGTTAATATATTTTTAATTAATGTTTGTTAGTTTATAGCAAAGTTCAAGCACAAATAAGGAGTTGGCTAGCTTCTGTGAATCACCTCTGCAAACATATTGGATCTAATCAAACTGGGATATAGGTGGATCTCTGTGGGTGCAAGGTTTGGAGTGAGCCCTCCAACTTGTGAGAAAGGGACTTGTGGTCAAACAAGCCTCTTGAAAGAAGAAGTGTAGTTTTTGAAGACACAAATATTGCTCTTGTAACACTCTCTGCTTATTACACCACTACATAAACCCCAAGCTGCTTTTGATGTCTTTGTGCCCCGTAGTTGGTGAAAGAGGAGGAAAGAGGAGGAGGAGCTGAAACAATTGCAGTAATCTGAACGATCATTTTAGCATATCTTTCATACTTTCTGGAAGGGATTGTGCAATGGTTTCTTTCTGCAGTGAAAACACAGGACCTCCCTCCCGCCATCAAAAAGCAGCAAAACCTTTTCTCCAGGCAGTGTTTTCAAAAGGGAAATCTACTTTTGTTTTGCCACTTTAAAGAAATGACAGGATTTCATTGTTCAGAGCAGAGTGGTTATTTCTGCAGCTACTTTAAATAACTTCCCAGTCATTTTCTGCAAGTGTACAATTGAAGTGCTAATTTTAGTAATGTTGTGTACAACAGCCCATCCCTACATGCAAATTTTAAACTTGTTTTCCTTTTCTATCTTTACCAGTTAACTATTTAAGTATTGAGGACGTTAATTGAGGAGATCTGACCTAGGAATGACTAACCAAGAAAGATTTTTGCGGTTATGGTGGAACATTCAGTGGAAATGTTAACCCAAATGCAGAAGCTGTGAAAAAAAAAAAAGGCAAATTTCGCATTGGTATAATTATGGAACTAGAATTGCCAATACAGCAATGTAATACAAACATACTTGGAATATTGTGTAGAAACATCCTGGCAAGGAGATTGCAGAAATAGAAAAAAGTGGCAATCAAAATGTTCAGGGATATTGCAGTTTCCTTATGAGAAAAGATGATGTAATTTGGAGCATTTTGGTGTTTTGTTTTTAAAGGTGGCTGAGAAAGGAGTTTGTAAAATTATGTGCAATGTGGATAAAATAGGTGAAGAGCCGTGTTTCTTCCTCTCACGTTTGAAACCCTGGGTCACTCAGTAAAGTTGAAGGTTGGGAAATTATAATCTACCTGGCCACCAATTCAAATAGTGTAAAAGAGAAATTTAATAGATATTCAACCAGTCAGAATCCCTGGGATCAGAGACACCATGTTGCTGAACATCAATATTTGGGTAGTAAATAGCAGCCAGAAGTTGTTCCCATGACCCTGTTCTGTTCTGATTCGCCATGGTAGGGAATAGGAGACGTGACAAAATCTGTTGATAGGGTCTAGTTCTATTCAGTCCTGTATAATCCTTTATTTTGGCTCTAGAGCCACTGAGGGGGATATAAGGAGAATCTTCAAACATAATAGTGAGAACTTTCACATACCTGGTGTGCCAGGCCTTTCCCAACCTGGTGTCCTTTAATTGTCCTATAATTCCTAACATTCCCAGCCCAGTATTACAACCTGGCTTTGATAGGACAACATATCCAACTCACCAGGGCAACAAAGAACCAATAAATTGGTTGAACCCCATCCTTTTGGATCCTGACTTTACCTATGACTGTCAAATCTAGACAGCAAAAAACTGAATAACACCAGATAATAGCAGAGAGCTCTTTTTGCTGCCCCCTTGTAGTAACCTGGATTTTTGCAGCCCAGATCTAGTAGTCCTAATTTAACTTCCGCACTGTTCCTGTGCTGAGGTAGATAATGATTTATGGAATATTATGCACGTTGGGACATTCCATCTCAACAAGCATAATGGTGTGGTGGTGAAGCTCAGAAAAGACAGCTAAAAGTATGACCAGAGATCTGCTGTAGCAATGAATGGTTTTGTTTTAGGGAAAAATATGAAGAGAAAGTTCATAAAGATTCCACTTTCTCCTAATACTGGAACTTAAAGCATTGTATGGTGGTTATACTTACTTATTCAGTTTGATTTGTGTGGCCATCCACTTCCTGTGCAACTTTGGGAAACTTAACATCCAGTTAAAAAATATTTAAAATCTATGAGCTCTAGGAATTAGGGGTCATTTTAAAGATGTATCTTTACAACCTACTTATGAAGAAGCCTTGCTCACAAATTTATCCTGCCACCCAGGACTTGAGAGCAAATACAGTGAAAAGATCATAGATTAAAAATCTATAATTACTGAAAAATGATGTTTATGTTCCAAAGTTAGAAAAAAATACCAACAAGCAAAACCGCCCATAGGTTTACTGCTGGCACAGTTGTATCTACATCTGGAAGAGATTTGAGGGTGCTACCAAAATAGCTATCAAGTAAACTAAAAACGAGACTCAAATTATAGCCTTGATTGCTTTTGAACTTAAGAGACAGTTTTGCTACCAAGCCCTGTCCTATGGCGCAGCTGAGACATTGGTAGAACAGCAAAGCGGCTTTTAAGATAAGCCTGGTTCATCCTGTCACTGAACTTCGACTTTTGACTCTCAGCAAATGACTTTTAAATAAGGGTGAAAGACGCATCAATTCAAATTTATTTTATTTTATTTTAGAAAAGTCTTTTTTAACAGTTTTCAGAAAATTTATTTAAAATAAAAGAATAGGCAGAGGAAAAAAAACCTATTTTGTCTCCTGTTTATATTCCAACTTCATTATAGAACTATTTACAATATTTATACAATTCCGGTCCAAAGACAAGTTTATTTACAGGACCTGTCTCCCAGTAGTTCTAGTTTAAGGCACCTTGAGTGCACACTTTGAGTGTACAGCATACATTTGGCATGTTCTCAGTGAGAACCTCCTGTCTCAGAAAGTAAGTTTTTGTTTTTGGCTACAGTAAACCTCTTACAGTCCTCAAATACAGCTTATGTTTTGAGCATGGTCAGCTATGTACATATAGCCAGCCCTTTGTCTCTTCTCTGTCATTGTCAGCCATGCAGCTCTTTTGACCCTCAACCACTCTGGATCATCACTGCATCCCTCAGGTCTGCCATGGTCATCTCTGTCATCTTTTATAGTAGCCAGCCAGCAGGTGCTAGGGCAGCCCCCCTTTTTTTCTGCTGATCACTCTCAGCACAATTGACATTTCGAGTGTGTCAGCTGTGATGACATGACCAAAATATGACAGCCTCGTGTTTGACAATCTCAGTTTCAAGTAATATTTTTATGAGGGTCAGTCTAGGATTTCTTTGTTATTTTTGTGTACAGGGGATGCATAATAGTCACCTCCAGCACCCCAGTTTAAAGGCATCCCCATTTTTTCTGCCTTTTTCAGAGTCCCAAGTTTCACAGCCAAAAGTAGCAATTGGGAAAATTATTAGGTGAAATAATATGCATTTGGTTGTAAGGTTAAATATGTACTCTTCCACGTGTTGTTCATGGTAGACATTGCAGTTCTTTCAAGTGCTTTTGATTTCAGAGCTGCAGTCGCCCAGTTTGGTCTCTTCTCCATCCTATAAATAAGTCTTGTTCTTCCA